ACTTCCTGGAGACATCCTCTTCTATTTGAAAACGTTCTACGAAGGTTTGGGGAGATTCTCTATTTGAGAAACATAGGACTGGAGGGAGGCCTCAAAGAACAGACAGAACCTGCTGCCCCCATTTCAACTGTGCTGATGGAAATAGTCCATTATGCATGCCTATCCCGAAAATGTTTTCTTTAAAAAATGTAGACTATCTACTATATATGGTGAGTTCTGTATCTTGGTGGCTCAGATGGTAAAGAATCTGCCTGCAATGCAGGTAGACGCAGGTTCAATCCCTGGGATGGGAAGGTTGCCTAGAGAAGGAAATGGCAACTAACTCCAGTACTCTTGCCTGGAGAATCCCATGGACAGAGGAGCCTGGTAAGTTACAGTCCATGGGGTTGCAAAGAGTTGGACATGACTGAGCGACTTCACTTAGATCCTCAGATGGGCTCTTACCAGACACATACAAAAGATAATTATTCTGTGAGGACATGGAGATGTTAATTAGCTTGACTGTAGTAATCATTTTACTATGAACAGGCATACCAAAGCATCATGCTCTACATGGTGAGAGCTACGATTTTTCTTTTGAACATAAAATATTGCCTTCGAGATGCTTCAGTGTCCATTGTGAATTCCTCATGCTAATGGGTCTCATGGTTTAACACATACAGAATCACCTACAAGGCTTCTTTTTTTTTTTTAATTTTTGTTTTTTCTTTTTTACATGTGTACACTGCTTTATTTATTTATTTTTGGCTGCTCTGGATCTTCATTGCTGAACGCGGACTTTCTCTAGTTGCAGAGAGCTGGGACTACTCTCTAGNGGCCAAAGTATTGGAGCTTCAGCATCAGCATCAGTCCTTCCAATGAATATCCAGAATTGATTTCTTTTCGGATTGAGTGGTTTGATCTTCTTGCTGTCATTTAAATGAGTCACAAGAGTCTACTCCAACACCACAGTTTGAAAGCATCAATTCTTCGGTGCTTAGCCTTCTTTATGGCCCAGCTCTCCCATCTGTACATGACCACTGGAAAAACCATAGCTTGACTTGTACGGCTTGCAGGATCCTAGTTCCCTAACCAGGGATCGAACCCAGGCTCTTGGCAATGAAAGCACAGAGCCCTAACCACTGAACCTCCAGGGAATTCCCAGCAGGAGCGCATTTTTTATTTTGCTAATTTACTACTGAAACACAGTTTCTCAGAGCCTAGAGGACCTGGTCTAGCACAGTGTAAACAGGGAGGGGTCGGGCCAAGGCAGGGACACAGCTGTGGTTATGCGGCTGCTGAACAAGGCCAGTTGTAGGAGCAGGGGTTTCAGTGACAAAACCGCAAACGAGGTTTTTGGCGCTTTGCAATCTGCATTTAGTGATGATGCTGGCTCATGGCGTCTTGGAATCCTGCCCTATGACTGGAAGAGCCAGACAGCTGTGGCGCTTGTTGCCTTACTCTGAACGCAGAGTTCAATCTATTCAAAGGAATGATAGACTGAGATTCAGCCTGTGGGAATTTATTCATCTGCTAACCTCTGCCATGAGAGCGTGGCCCAGAATCCTATGGGCAGAGTCCTGTGACCACCTCCAGCTGGGACGCAACCCGAGTCATTTTTAATCACTCAGGACAGTGGTTTCAGAGCCGAGCCAAGTGTCTATTAGTTTAAAGCATCTCAAGGATGGGCTCACTTGGGCTTCCCTGGTGGTCCAGTGGTTAAGACTCCACTCTGAGCTTCCACTGCAGGGGGTGTGGGTTCAATCCTTGGTTGGGTAATAAGACCTTGCATGCCTCATGGCCAAAAAATAAAAATAAAAAAATAAGATTGGTGTAATTCTCTCTCCCCTTTTTCAGTGGTTGGTGAACTAAAGCAGACTTAGGACCCGTGGTCCCATCACTGTTGGCCTCAGACACTAAAATAATCGATGGCTGCCATCTGCCTGTTCTGGAGAAGGCACCCATTTGGGGCCCTTCACAGATGTGTGTTCTGTGGATCTTTCCTTCCTGAAGTTCACTAGCACATTATTTAGCATCTAGGTATACATAGACTATTCCAGTAGTCATGTATGGATGTGAGAGTTGGAACATAAAGTTGAGCACTGAAGAATTGATGCTTTGAACTGTGGTGTTGGAGAAGACTCCTGAGAGTCCCTTGGACTGACAGGAGATCCAATTAGTCCATCCTAAAGGAAATCAGTCCTGGGTGTTTATTAGAAGGACTGATGTTGCAGCTGAAACTCCAATACTTTGGCCACCTGATGTGAAGAACTGACTCATTGAAAAGACCCTGATACTGGGAAAGATTGAAGGCGGGAGAAGAGACAACAGAGGGTGAGATGGTTCGATGGCATCACCGACTCGATGGACATGAGTTTGAGCAAACTCCAGGAGATAGTGGAGGACAGGGAAGTCTGGCATGCCATAGTCCATGGGGTTGCAAAGAGTTACGCATGACTTAGTGACTGCCCAACAACAAAACAGTGTGCCCTAAGATTGTGGCATGATTCCAAGCTTGATGGCACTTCCTTCACAGAGCAGTTGGCAAGGAACAAGGTAATTCTGCAACAGAAACACTTCCTGGGGTCTCAGTTTGCCAGCTGAAGGGGCATGGGGTGGTGTCAAATTTTATTATGAGCATTCCTGGTCTCCTTGAAACAACCGCGTGAGAAGACACGTTATATAGCACGAGATCACAGACCCAGCCTGGCCCCCAACTGACAGCAGACACTGCGTTTCCTGGATATTGATCCACAGATGTATGGGATTTTTTTTAAAAAAAAGTCACATCAAGCCCTAAAGCTTAAGCTGATTCATAGCCTGCTGTTTGGCAAGATGACTTCCCCTAAGTTGATTTCTTGGGAAGCCCTGGGCGTGGCGCTTGACTCTCTACCCCTGAAGTGAAAGTGAAAGTCGCTCAGTCATGTCCGACTCTTTGTGACCTCATTAAGTATCGAGTCCATGGAATTCTCCAGGCCAGAATATTGGGTTGGGAAGATCCTCTGGAGAGGGGAATAGCTACCCACTCCAGGATTCTGGCCTGGAGAATTCCAGGGACTGTATAGTCCATGGGGTCGCAAAGAGTCGGACACAAATGAGAGACTTTCACTTCCACATTTCAGGAAGGACAGAACTCAGGGGGTTATGAGGCGGAGAGGTTCTTGTTCATTTCATGTCAGTATCCAACAAAAGCATATGGTGTGATGTTAGCAATGTAGTGATCTCTATACTCAGAAGCCAGTGGCCCTTTGTAACAACTTCGGTGATTATGTGAAGCAACAGAGTGACCATCATGGCCACAGAAAGCATTTAAATCCCATGGACTCAAGAATTTTTTTTTAAGTTCTATTTATTTATGGCTGTGCTGGGTCTTTGCAGCTTCTCTGGCTTTTCTCTAGTTGAGGTTCGCAGGCTTCTCCTCCTCCCGCCACAGAGCACGGGCTCTAGGGAGCATGGCCTCCAGCTCCTGCAGCACGTGAGCCCAAAAGATGCGGCTCCCAGGCTCTAAGAGCAACAGGCTCAACGGCCGTGGCCCACACACCTAGTGGTTCTGCAGCACGCGGGGCCCTCCCGGATCAGGGCTGAACCTGCGTCTCCTGCACTGGCGGCGGATTCTTTACCACTGGGCCACCAGGGAAGCCCAGAATTCACAGTGACATGGAAAGAGTGATTCTTAAGAAGAGCTACTGTGATCGTGTGGCTTAACTTTTATTTGCAAGTCGAGTGTGGCTGTCATGCCTGCACATCAACTATACATTGACGAGAGCGGGTGCTCCTCACGTGAAGTCACAGGATCTTACTGGAAACTTTATATCATCCAAGGACACAAGCTCACCATGGAGACATTTAAGATCATAATGAAACGTTATGCCTGAAACTAACATTGTTAAGTCAACTATACTTCAATAAAAATTAAAAGAATGGAGGTCAACAAGAAAACCAATGCAAACTTGATTTTACAAAATTTGACAATCAAGAGTAAGACACAGTCACGGCAAACAGCCAAGTTACAAGCCACTTTAGAAGATGCGGTTTCGAAAACAGCAGAAATTCGAGTAGGTAGTCAGCCCTGGGAGAAGGAAATGGCAACCCACGAGAGTCTGAGCGAGCCTCGCTGGCGTGTGGAGAAGGGCAGGGGCAGACCCGGCCAGGCCCCGCCTGCCACCACGGCACCGGGCCTGGGAACCGAGGGTCCCGGCTCCCGCCCTGGGCTCCAGCACAGCAGTGGGCACAAGGCAGACCAGGGCAGGGAGCACCCGTGTCACTTCGCTCTTCCTCGGAGTGAGCACGATGCCTTTCCTCCCGCTCGGAGAAGAGTCCTCTATGGGCCAAACGAAGCAGGGCCAGACGCGTGGGCTGCCTCTGCCTGCACAGTCTGAGATGTCCTTGAGCTGCCGAAAAATCTGCACTTGCAGAGATGAGCTGGGAGAATTTAAAACTCAAAAACGTGAACCAGAAAGCCAGGCGGGACGACGAGTGAGCCACATGGCCACCGAGCCAACACGGCTGGCCTCCGGCAGTCTCGGTGCCAAGCTCAGCACGCAGTGAGCTGCAGGCTGAGCCCACGGGGACAGCTGTCCGTCACCAGGGTCTGCGTCTGGTTTCGGGAAGAGCCCAGAAACGACACAGGGATCTGTCCCATTTCAAGGCTAGCCTGCTCTGGCCACCCAACTTCGCTCCCAGGTGCAGCCTTCACACCTGGAAGACAAGGCCAGCCAGGTTATCGCCCAGGGGCAGAGCTTCACCTTTGAAGCTGGGAGACGCCAGGCTGCCTGAGACCCTCTGGCCGATCACGGCTGTCTCTGAAACAAGACTCAGCATCGGGCGGCCTCTAGTGGCCACTGACGGCCAAGTATCACAGCGGACCCCTGACTCGCTGTGGAGGAAAAGGTACCTTCAACATCCTGCAATGTCATGAGAATGGAAGATCAAGCAATCAGGGAGGAAAAATGCAACTATACCTTCAGTATCTTGCCAAAGAAAAGCCTCAAATAGTAGATTATAAAAATAATTTAGCCAGATTCTTTTGAGAATGTGTTTATTATGTTCCAAAACCTTGAATAACTCACTTTTCTTTTAAAAATTCAAACTGAAAAAAAAAAAAAAAATCAAACTGAAAGGAAAACTAGAGATTTCAACAATGTTCACAAAGGGTGGTGGCTGTCTTGTTTTAAGCTATGGTTATCATTATTTTGTCTAAAGAAAGGTGAGCTAATATTTTGGAAAGCTTTGCCAACGGGCGAACTTCATCTGGGTCTCCACTTTATGTCTTTTACTCCATGAAAATGTCTTTTCAAAGCAGTGTTATCTGCCCACGGAGAATTTAAACAGGAGTCGTCATCATTTTCTTCCAGTTTCTGGAAACACATGGGTTTCGCTCAGGAGGGCATCCCAGGACAGAATCCACGACCAACCTCCCCGCTCCCCGCCTCCCCAGAGAAGCAGGACACCCCCAGACTCCAGGGCAGGGGGCGCCAGGCACAGCCCTGGCGAGGCCGCAGCTCAGACGGTGCCCCGCCACGTCCTGCGCCAGGGCCCGGGGGAGGCCGGGGAGGGGTGGGCGCCGCTGTCCTGGCAGCCCCGCGGTACCTTGAGCTCCTCCTGTCTTCTGTGGTAGTACAGCATCAGCTGCTTCTGCTCCTCGCTGCTGATGATGGGCTCTCGAGCTGGAGCCCCCTGGCCCCTCTGAAAAGACGAGGGGACAGCGCACTGTGGGTGGCCCAGGAGGGCGCGGCTCCCGTCTTACAACTGCCTTTGTGCTGCGGTTGTTTTGTGCTCAGCCGGGTCCGACCCGCTGTGACCCCGTGGACTGTAGCCCATCAGGCTCTCCTGTCAGTGGGATTCTCTCCAAGCAAGAACACCGGAGCGGGTTGCCATTTCCTACTCCAGGGATCCTCTCAACCCAGGGATGGAATCCTCTGTCTCTTGGGTCTCCTGCACTGGCAGGCAGATTATTTACCACTGTGCCACCTGGGAAGCCCAAAGCCCAAACTGTCCTTTGTGGACGGCTAAACAGGTCATGTTGAAGCTGAAACGCCAATACTTTGGCCACCTGATGTGAAGAGCCCACTCACTGGGAGAGACCCTGATGCTAGGAAAGACTGAGGGCAGGAGGAGAAGGGGATGACAGAGGACGAGATGGTTGGATGGCAACATGGACTCGATGGACATGAGTCTGAGCAAACTCCGGGAGTTGGTGATGGATAGGGAGGCCTGGCATGCTGCAGTCCATGGGGTCGCAAAGAGTCGGACATGACTGAGCAACTGAACTGAACTGAAATGAAACAGGTCATGCACCTCTCATCATGCAGAGTGAATCGTCAAGGGAGCCTCGCTCGTGCTCTGGACCGTCATGGTGCAGGCTGGAGGTCTGCAGGTCTAGGGGGAAGGGGTAGCGATAATCGTGGAGGCCACCCTGTTTCCCCCAAACTTTAGAGAAATGGCTTAGGAGGGAGTTGGTGATGGATAGGGAGGCCTGGCATGCTGCAGTCCATGGGGTCGCAAAGAGTCGGACATGACTGAGCAACTGAACTGAACTGAAATGAAACAGGTCATGCACCTCTCATCATGCAGAGTGAATCGTCAAGGGAGCCTCGCTCGTGCTCTGGACCGTCATGGTGCAGGCTGGAGGTCTGCAGGTCTAGGGGGAAGGGGTAGCGATAATCGTGGAGGCCACCCTGTTTCCCCCAAACTTTAGAGAAATGGCTTAGGAGAGAGCAGGGAACACAGCGGCCTGCAGGCACACAGCTCTACACCAGGTCTTTACAGGTCTGCAGCCCTCCGCCTCATTCGCAGACCATCAGCACTTTGAAACACTAGAGATCAGTGCTCGGGGCTGTATTTTTCATCTCAAGAAACAATCTGGGTTACTTGTAAGCCCTATTTTTAAAGCTGAAATCAACTTGGTACACTCTCCTTTCCCGCCTAATTAAAAGGACTCCAGGACTTCCCTGGTGGTCCAAGGGTTAAGAACCCGCCTGCCAGGGCAGGGGGCACAGGTCGAGGCCGTCTGGGAAGATTCCACACACTGAGGAGTGGCTGAGCCCAGGCACTGCAGACGCCAGCCTGGGCGCTGGAGCCCCGCTCTGCAACGAGAGGCCCGCGCTGCACAGAGAGGAGGGCCTGCTCACCCCAGCTGGAGAAAGGCCTTGTGCAGCCACGGAGACATTTCTTTAAACTGAAAAACCCCAAACAAACTCCAGATGGTGTCAACTGATCCCCCTTTCCTTCCAGTTTTCGCTGCTCCACAAAGAGGACAGTTTTACGCTTGGACCACACAGGATTAGAGTGCCTGCATCGCGAGTTTCAAATCTTTCAGAGTTATTGTTAAGTTTTTATCCGTGTGAAAGTAAGTTAAGAAAATGACAACAGCAACACACCGAGGTCAAAGCGCTCACCTGCTGGATCTTGACGATGATTTTGGTTTTCTCATTCTTCCCCACGTAGTCCGAAAGCTTCTTTGTACGTCGCAGCTCCTTGGCTGCCCACCACAGCTGTGCCTCTGATTCTTTGATGACGTTGAGCCCTGCCTGGGGGCCACAGTTGAGAACGGGCTTTAGGGTTTCCGAGGCATCAGCCTGGTCTGTGCCCCTCCCGGCGAGGGAGCAGCTTCCAGCGCCCTGCCCTCCCACCTCCTGGGGAGCACCGGCTCCCCTGCCCACTCACCACCCTTGCTCACCTGGGCACCTTCCCTGTCAGTCTCCACTCGCGCCCTGACTCGGGTAACTTCCTGCCCTGGGAAGTGGGGTATCCTATCTCATTGGCACCCTCATCCATGCATGATGTAAGGTCCCTCTGAGACTACGGCCCAGCAAGAAAACGGGGATCCTGCTGGGTGTTTAAATACAAAAGTCCCCGACTCAAGACAACTTTATCTGTGACTTACTGACCACATGATGGTGTGAAAGTGACCACACATTCTATGGACCACACATTCAGTAGAAACCATACTTCAAATTTTGAATTTTCATCTCTTCTAGGCCTAGTGATAGAGTGTGATATTTTCTTGGGATGCTGGGCTGTGGTGGTGAGCTTATGATCACCAGAGTAATCAACCGATACACTGACAATCATTCTGTACCAGACAACAGTTCTGTTTTTCACTTTCAGTACAGTATTCAATCAATCACATTATAAAACAGGCTCCGTGTTGGGCGATTTTTTTTCTAACTATTGGCTAATGTAAGTATTCTGGAGCACATTTCAGGCAGGAGAGACTAAGCTATGATATTGAGGACACTAAATGCATTTTCAATGTGTTAATATAATATTTTCAACTTATGTTAGGCTTGTTGGGACATAACCCATCTTAAGTTGAGGAAGATCTATGTAGGTATAATGGGGCTGTTAGTTTGCTTCTGCATATTCCACCTATTTAAGATGGCTCAGAGGAAGATACTGTCCCACAGGGTAAGGAATAAATGAGAAAAACAAAGGAAAGTGGAACATAAAGCTAGGAAAATATTCAGGAGCAAGAGGGAAGGCTAGAACACAAAATTCCATCAATGGGACCAAGACATTTGGCAGAAACAGGCACAAAAGAGGTTCCTGCCTCCCAGTACTTCCCATTTCCCAAAGAAAATGGGCAAAGTTTCCAGTTCCTCCCTCCTCTGCCGCCCCTCCGTGTGCGCGCCAAGCCCCAACCAGGAGCAGACCTCTGGGGTCCTCCCCTGAATTCACAACTCTGCTCTGAACCCGCGCTAGCAAGATGGAAAGCTGTGCATGAAGCAAAAACTACATCAGGACAAATATGAGGTCTAACACGAGCAGCTTCTGCCCTGGGGCGGGAGTAGGCATGAACTTACATGATAGAAACCCCAAGAGCCACCCACATACCTGAGTCCCTGACAAATCTTCTTTATTTTCAAATTCCATCCGGATGGGATCGTACGGTGGCAACCCCATGGGATAAACTATCATCACGGCACCTCGAAGCTGGTCCAAGGCGTCATTCACCATCTCCATGGTCACGCAGACATTGGCTTCCACTTGTTTCTGAAAGTGGTTGCGGGTACTGTTAGCTATGATGCAGCCAATCAACTCAACAGATGTCAATCAGGTTCTTATACAAGACCCACGCCAGCTCCTGCCGGAGCAGCAGACAGAATCAGACAGAGCTTCTACCGAAGTGACTCTGATCTATCTGTGGGGCTCAGCCACGGCCACCACAGCCTTGGCGATAATGCAGAATATGAGTGGCATTGAGGGGGTGAAGCGTGGAGAACACTCCGAGAGCAAGAATCCCAGGATCTTAGCTCCCTGACCAGGGATCGAACCCATAGCCCCTGCAGTGGAAGCGCAGACTCTTAACCACTGGACTGCCAAGGAAGTCTGGTCAAGGACCTCACGCTTTAGCTCATGGGGTCTGCGCGAGCGCTGGGGAGTCAGCATTGGAGCTGAACAGAACTGCAGGCCCCCCAGCTGACGTCTGCACAAAAGACTCTCAGGGGGACTGTAAATAAAGTGGTAACTGTGGAAACGAGGGGAGCAGTTGGGATTCAGGAGGCATCGCAGAAGCAAGTGGTAGGGTACCAGACAAGGCATTCGGGTGAGAGAGAGGCAGTGACAAAGTGGACCCTGATACACTGGCGGCTGTGTTAGTAGAAATGAAAAGTCTACAGGAAGGGCCAGCTCCTGGGTACAGGACACCCGGCAGAGGAATCAATGAGTTTGAAGTGCTGGCTGGACTCCCAGATGAAAGAAATCCAGGGTGCAAGTAAAGAAGGGTTCTGGGGTAGAGGACAGAGATTGGGGAGTTATCTGCAGAGAGTGGAAGCTGGTATTCGGCAGAGAAGATAAAATGCCAAGGAAGAAAGAACAGAAAGAGAAGAGAAGAGAGCTGAGGTTAACACACTTGGCGAGACACTGGGTTTAAGCAGCAAGAGGAAGAGAAAACAGCGACCTGAAGCTGCGAGGCAGCCAGGACGGAGGCCCGCGGACGTGGTGCAAAGTCAGATGTGATTCAGGGGTCAGACGGGAAAGGCTTCTGGATGTGCAGCTCGGAGGCCACTGGGGGCCCCAAGGTGGCCATGTCTGTGGGGGGTAAGAAAACAGGGGCCAGGTTCTCAGAAACCCGGGAGGATCGGGCCTGAGGCTCTGGGGGTGTCTCTTGCCTTACCTACCCCCAGGGCGGCTTATGAAATTGTTTCCAAGTCAGAAATGCCCATCACATGTGCTGGGCCTCCCTGGGAGGGGCCCGCGCCCACAGACGGTGTGACGGTCCACTAGACCTGGGGTCACCTGAAGGCAGCTGTCCCGCCCAGAGGACGCCACCCCCCCAATGTGCCCAGACAGGGGAGCCAGGGGGTCACTTTCTACAAAAGCTCCACTGATACCAAGGGCAGTGGTCCTGGCCAGGCACCACGGGGGTGGACAGATAAACTCAAGGTGTGGCCTCAGGACGACAGATTCCCCACAATCCTGGGCTCCTGCCCTCGGCAGAGGGTGCACAGACGTCGCTGCCCACCCCCAAGGGGCCCCAGTTTGGGTGTCCCACCACCTTCTACACTCCCCTGGAGGAACCTGAGCGATAGAGGCGGAGGCCTGGGTCCCAGGGGCTGGACGGTGGGGCTGCTGGGATCTGAGCGCCCACCTGCCAGCCTCGTGTTCTGACCCACGGGGCTAGCGGCCCCCACGTGGCAGGTCTGGGGAGGTAGGAGCCAGGCCGGCTACATGTGGGGACAGCGGGAAGGGCCCCGGGTGGGACTCGAGCCCTGGCCCATGCGAGCTCCGCCACTTTGGGCAAACTGCTGCAGAAAAATGACTGGAAGCCCCGTGAAAGCTGTCTCTAAGCTATGAAATGACAACATAAAAATACACAAAGGGAGAGAGTGACACAAACGAATAGGAAGGATTTCCATAGAGGAGGTGTGGGGACTGGAGCGGGCGGAGCAGGGCCCAGGACACTGCCCTCCTAACCTGTTCTGGGAGGGGCCATCTTGACTACAAGTTACTAGTTATTATCTACTTTTCTGGGTTTCCCTGGTGGCTCAGACGGTAAAGCATCTGCCCGCAATGTGGGAGACCCAGGTTCAATCCCTGGGTTGGAAAGATCCCCTGGAAAAAGAAATGGCAGTCCACTCAAGCATTCTTGCCTGGAAAATCCCATGGACAGAGGAGCCTGGTGGGCTACAGTCCATAGGGTCACAGAGAGTCGGACACGACTGAGCGACTTTCACTTTCATCCTTTAAAAAAATAGTCTCTGCAGCCAAACGCATTTTGCGAACCCTGGGTCAAACCAAAGCCTTCCCAACGCCTTTCCTATATTGACAGGCAGAAGAGCAGGCTCCCCTGAAGCACTTAAAGGATTCGCTGGCTTAGGAATCACAAGGATACCCAGAGCACTGGGAGGGACAGGAGAAGCAGCAGTTATCCAGGAAGACCACGGTGGAGGGAGGGTGGGGGCAGCCAACATCAGGAACGTGTAAATAAAAGCCACTGATAAAAACATTCAGTTCCTGAAAAATCCTTAAATGACTTTCCTCCAGACTCCCAGCCTGTGTCTGTCAGCAGTCTGACTGCTGTTTCCCCTTCAATGAAACATTTTGTGTGTAAGTACTACTGGAGAGGGTTGCCGTTTCCTTCTCCAATTCAGATGATTACAAAGCGCTGACTCATAACACACGCGTGTTGTCAGTCAGATTCCGCAGGTCCAGTGAGCGGCCACAAGGTTCGCATCTGCCCTGCTCGTCTTTCTTTAGTTCTTACTGGACACAAACTACGACCCGCAAAAGAGAGAAGCAGCAAGGATTTACTGACTAGCACGGGGACTTATATTCAATATCTTGTAGTAACTTATAATCAGATGGAAAAAACCACAACTGAGTCACTATGTGGCCTGAAAGTAACACAACACTGTAAATCAACTATAGCTCAACTTAAAAAAAAAAGGGCTAAGGAAGCAAAATATAAGCACCAATTCATATTTGAGCCACATTGACACAAGCCAATAACTGTTTTTGTTTGACTTGAAGGCATTGAGAGGATTGAGGACAACTGTCACAGCTAAGGGAAAGGAAAAAAAAGCTAAGGCCCGCTCTAAACATGCTTGTCTCCTTTGCCTCTGGAGGTGGGGGNAACTGGTAATATTCTGTTAACTGTTTTTACAAGTACCATGATTTCTTTCTTTGATGAAATTTCACCTGAAAAGCAAAAAAATCTCTCAAAATTGAGAATGGATTTAGGTATGAAAAGATGTGGAAGACACCAACTATTATTATTTTCTAGGTTAAAGTTCAAAATAAATACCATTAATTGAAATTCCTATTATCTTCAATATATACATATATTTTTTCTGAGCATGCAAAGGCTTTATAGGGACACTTTCTTTCCTTTGCTCCTAAGAGTGTTTTAAGGGTATAATAAGCACTTAAGTGTTTGTTAACTCATCAATTATAATCTTTTAAAGGGAGCTCTTTATGCAGGTTAAAAGGTGTATGGTATCAAAATAGGTTATCATCCCTTTTCCCCTGCAATCCCACACAAACAACCATGTACTAAAAGGAGAGCAGTTTCCTCAGTGTCCTGCCTGTCCGAAACTGCTCTGTACAAGAGAGGCCTGTCGTCAATTCAAGTGGAGACCGCTGGGTTGACATTCATTTTCTCTTTCTACATAGAATCACTAAATAAACCCTAATGTACAAACTGTAACAAAACATACCCTGCGATACATTTTCATTGATTATCCCCTCAGACTATTAGATTGAACGATATGAAAATGCCAATTTTCAATCACTTGTTGCCAATAAAGTTGGTAATTTCTTATGGTTCATCTACTACACTTAAAAGCTAGCTGAAACTTAGTAAGAGCAAGAAGACAGATGCCTTCTTTTCCATCTAATTCATCCTGGATTAGCATTTTGCTACAAGGAGTTAATAGGGCTTCTCTGATGACTGAGATGCTAACGAATCTGAATCTTCCTGCAAAGCAGGAAACTCAGGGTTCAGTTCCTGGGTCAGGAAGAGCCCCTGGAGAAGGAAATGGCAACCCACTCCAGTATTTTTGCCTGGGAAATCCCATGGACAGAGGAGCCTGGTGGGCTACGGTCCATGGGGTCACAAAAGAGTTTGACATAACTTAGCAACTAAACAACAACAAGGAGTTACATGCTGCAGTATTTTGTAAGTTTGAATAGAAACACTGCGGTCAGTTTTTAACCTGAAGAACTGTTTTCACACTGATGGTTACATTCAGGCATGCGCAGAGAAGAAAAATGCTGGATTACCTTGTCCATTCCGCCGTCCAACATCATCTTTTTTAAATACTGAGCCTCCACTAGGGATACACTTTTCACCCCATTCATCCTTTAATTTCAATTCTTCGATCTGTTCATCAGTCAGTCCTTGCATATTAGGAGGCAGAAATACGCCATGTTCTGCTAATTCTTCCATTTCTTAAAAACAAGAGGAAATTAGACAATATGCATCACAGTCATTATTATAACACCTACACTTCACTGGAATGGAAGCTTCCTAGAGGTCAGGGGACCATTGGCTATTTTATTTAACAGACACTTAGACGCCACTTGCTATGGCATACCTGTCCTTGACCTCCGGCAAATGCTCACTGATTCATCCTAGATCAACAGAAGCAGAGAGTCTGGGGGCTCAGCCACCGGTCACAGGCTGCAGTTTCTGAGCTCCAATCCTCTATGCTATGTTATACCTCCTGGCACTCAGGAGGCATAAATTCAAATTCACTGACAGGCTGAATACATACCCACATAGGGCGTTATGGTTTTGCAAGTGCATTCACATAGATTATCTCAATTTCTCCTTGTGAGGTAGGCCAGACAGTTATCAACATCCCCATCTTCCCCAATTTGCAGCGGAATCACCTGAGGCTTGCTCGGGTCACAATGCTACTACTGCAGCCCTTCCATGGTGGCAGAGATAGGAAAAGACCTTGATTTTCTAGTATTACGTTCACTATTCAGATGCATGCTTTATGTTTTTCCTATTCCATATGCATTCACCCCAGAATGAATCCACATTTTAACCTTGCAAAATTAAAATTGCCTTTCTTTCTTCTCCTTCCTTCTCTCTCTCCCTTCTTTCACATGAAAGAGGTATGTGGGGTCTCCATAGCATTTTGAGAAGACACCAGGTAGCCTGTAATAACACAGTACTATGGAACAAATACTATAGAATAAATCACCGACTCGATGGACATGAGTTTGAGCAAGCTCTGGGAGCTGGTGATTGACAGGGAAGCCTGGGGTGCTGCAGTCCATTGGGTCACAAAGAGTCAGATACTGCCGGAGCCTGCCGGCAAACGAACTGGTCGAGAACGCAATTACCAGAGTACCTGACAAATATAAGACTTAGACAGACTTAGAAAGACTTAGACAGACTTAGAAAGATGGGGTTGAGAGGGACAGAGTCAGCTTGCGTCTGACTCTGCCAACTTTATTGAAGAATACCACACCTATATATATGCTAACAGGAGTNTCACTATTCAGATGCATGCTTTATGTTTTTCCTATTCCATATGCATTCACCCCAGAATGAATCCACATTTTAACCTTGCAAAATTAAAATTGCCTTTCTTTCTTCTCCTTCCTTCTCTCTCTCCCTTCTTTCACATGAAAGAGGTATGTGGGGTCTCCATAGCATTTTGAGAAGACACCAGGTAGCCTGTAATAACACAGTACTATGGAACAAATACTATAGAATAAATCACCGACTCGATGGACATGAGTTTGAGCAAGCTCTGGGAGCTGGTGATTGACAGGGAAGCCTGGGGTGCTGCAGTCCATTGGGTCACAAAGAGTCAGACACAACTGAGTAACTGAACTGAACTGATGGAACAAATGGTCGAACTTAATGGGCTATTTATGGGATACTTCTTGTCTCTCTCTCCCAACCTGACTGTAAGTATCTGGGACGAGGGAAGGGGAGACAAGAGCAGGCCTCATTTGCCCTGGACTTTGGGCATAGCCTGCCTGAAGCAGGTCCATGATAAGGGCTATAGACAGGTGGCGCTGTGCACTAGTCGCTCCATCATGTCAGACTCTGGGTGACCCCAGGGACCGCAGGGCCAGGCTGCTCTGTCCATGGGATTCTTCAGGCAAGGATACTGGAGTGGGTAGCCATTTCCTTTTCCAGGGGATCTTCCCGACCCAGGGATTGAACCCAGGTCTCCTGCATTGCAGGCGGATGCTTTACCATCTGAGCTACTAGGAAAAGAATCCACCTGCCAGATGCGGGTTGGATCCCTGGGTTGGGAAGGTCCCCTGGAAGAAATGGCACCCATTCCAGTATTCTTGCCTGGAAAATTCTTGCCTATGGAAAATTCCATAGGCAGAGGAGACTGGTGGGCTGCAGTCCATGGGGATGCAAAGAGTCAGACACGACTGAGCAGGTAGCACAGATTAAATGAATGGGCTTCCAGCTCACTAATGAGACTGAACAATCACCACCACATTTCAATTGATAATTTCACAGAAAAAGAAGCTGAGGCCCTTTTCCCCAAAGATGCTTTGATTTTAAACTAACACTTAATCGAGCTTGGTCCGGTGTTAATTTTACTAAGAAACTGTACGAATGACCCATAAATGAGCTCTTAAGGTTAAAGACAGCTTATGATCTTTAAGGAGTACTCTGCGGCACAAAACTCACCGGATATAATCACAGAAACAATCACATTGTGGACCACACCCGGACTAACATACTGTCAAGTACTGTGCTGCCTAAGGCGACAGTAAGGAGCCTCATGAGGCTGTGAGTGCTAAGCCGTTTGCTGTCCCAACTCTTTGCGACCCCATGAACTGTCACCCCGTCAGGCATCCTCTGTCCATGGGATTCTCCAGGCAAGACTACTGGAGTGGGTTGCCATGTCCTCCTTCAGGGCGCTTCCGGACTCAGGGATTGAACCCTGTGGCTTTTATGTCTTCTGCATTGGCAGGCGCGTTACCGCTAGAATTTACATTTAAATGAATTGAAATAAAGAATGCAGTGTCTTGGCGGTGGTCAACAGCCACCTGAGATACCGGCCACCCACTCCAGTGTATTCTTGCCTGGAGAATCCCATGGACAGACCACGGAGTCGCAAACAGTCGGACACGACTCAGCAACTACCACTGCTAGACGGCACGGCCAGGGAACATCTCCGGCGGAGGAAAGTTGCATTGACCCTCGCCGCTCCGGGGGTGGGGGTGGGGCGGCGGGCAGTGACCAAGACATTGTAACATGAGGATCAGGCTGTTTCCTAGAGAAGGGAACACTGACCAAAACACTGTAACATGAGGATCAGGCTGCTTCCTAGAGCAGGGAACAAGGAAGGAGGCAAGAACGGCGAGGCTCTCTTACTGTCTCTCTTGAAAACTGTCCCAAAGCTGGGTGGCTCCTCCACCTTCGCCCCCCTCCCCCAGAGACTGCTCTAGCTCCAAAGTCTCAAAAGAGAACACTCACTCTTAAAAATCGGCCCGGGGATCGTCCCACCTCTCACACTTGTGGAGATCCCCTAACCTGCTCTGGGGCCCAGGCTCTCGGCTCTCCCGTGCCACCTCCCGTCCCCCCTCCCCCTGCCTCGGTTTCGGGACTTAGGTCGGTTTGTTTTGCTCACAGAGCCCCAATCCCGACTCCCCAGACCCTGGAGTGGCCCGCCCTTTCGGCTCCGAGCACCCCTCCAAGCGTTACAATCAGGTAAGTCGCTCAGTCGTGTCCGACTCTTTGCGACCCCATGAACTGCATCACGCCAGGCCTCCCTGTTCATCACCAACTCCCGGAGTTTACTCAAATTCATCTCCACTGAGTCGGTGATGTCGTCAAACCATTTCATCCTCTGTCGTCCCCTTCTCCTCCTGCCCTCAATCTTTCCCAGCATCAGGATCTTTTCAAATGAGTCAGTTCTTTGCATCAGGTGGCCCAAGTATTGGAGTTTCAGCTTCAGCATCAGTTCTTCCAATGAAGATTCAGAACTGATTTCCCACGCAGTGCAGCCGCTCCTGGAAGCATCTCTGGGGAAACCCGCGGTCCGCATCTCAAGCCCGGCAGCTGCGCGTCTTCGCAGTCTTTACCGGCCTGACCCTCGGTCGCCCCTAGCCGGCCAGAGGAGGCCTGGCGCGTTCCGCCCAACTTCGCCCCGTCCCCGCGGGCCCAGTTCTCTCTCCCCTCCCAGGCCCCACGACGCTGGGCCGCACCTGAGCAGAGGCGCTGCGCCTTGAGCCGCGCGTTGTAGACCCGGGCTACCTGCACCGTGAGCTCCTCCAGCTCCGAGCTCCCCGGCGCCTGCAGCAGGAACTGGCTCTCGTCGCCCCGCTTCACATGCAGCAGAACCATGGTGGCCGCGAGAGCCCCGCCGGAAGGCCCTGGACAAGCGGCCCGCGGTCACCCGCCCCCGCCGGCGGACAGCGAAGATCGCCGACTAACGGTTGCCGGGAGGCCGGAACCCTGGGTTCGAGCGCTCGCGGTGCTGGGACGGGGCGGGGGGACGAGAGGAAACTGCACCCTTTCCCGGAAGTGGCTGTTGCCAGGAGCAACAGAGAAACACAGTCTGGGCGCGGGGAGGGGGACGGGGGGGAAAACGGCACCCGCTCCCGGAAGTGGTTGTTGCCAAGAGCAACAGAGAAACGCGGTCTGAGGGCGCGGGGTGGGGGCCCACGGCTCAAGGGCAGACCCTGAGGCTGGGGAAGCTACGGTGCGCGGAGACCCGGGCCTCCCTCCACTACCCTGACAGCAGGTGCGGCCAAGCAAAGAGTCCGGGACCCGCCCCCGCACCGGCAGAGCCGACTTCGCCGAGCCCCCACTCCCGGAAGTGGCTGTTGCCGTGGCAACCCTCAAACCGACCAGCCGGCTGAGTGGAGTTCTGGCCGCCCGGTCGGCTCGCCGGGGTCTAGGGATTCCGTCCAGGGAGTTGGCGGGGAGGGGCAAGGAGGCTGCTCGACCGGGAATGGGTTGGGGTGGCGGGCACCCAGAGCCACCGAGCCCCCCCAGCAGTGTTCCCACCGCCGCTCCAAGCCTCGCCAGCCTTTCCGCCTTCCTCAGTCTCCACTTCCGGAAACGTCTCCGGCTGCTTCCGTTCTGGAACCCTGAGGAGAGGCCGTGACGCTTAGATGACGCGAGACCGTGGGCTGCTGGTTCTTTGGTCTTCAGGTCTGAGGAATCGGGGAACGTGTCTGTACTTCTCCATGCGGGGTGATTCGGCCCCCCAAGTCTAGTGTGTCTGGCGCGGCTGACGCCGGAACGACGCTCCACAAACTGTCGTCATTCACTGTCCAGCAAAATTCTTACTAAAGGCAGTCGTGGGCGGCGCTGTTTATTCCCAAACAGGGCGGCAGATCCAGGGTCACCGCCCTCATGGAGCTTGTATTCAGTTTTAAGTGACAAAAGGAAAGCAAACATGAACGGATAAGGCAAATTTTAAAAAGTAAAAAGATTAAACAGGGTGGTTGACTTTTTAGATAGGATGGTCAAGGAGTGTCTTAAAGGGATGGGTAACACTCGCACTGAGTCCTTGCTCACGAGGGGCTGGCAGAGGAGTGCGAGGCCCCACCCCTGGTTGTTTCCTTGGAAGGGCCGTTGCCAAATACGAATTGATTTGAATTTTACTAGCACCTGCCACTCCGCATACCTGAAACTTTGACTCCCTGTATTGCATCTGTATCCCTGAAGTTCCTGGGCAGAGGGAAGAAAGTGGTAGACTGTAGGCCTGGGAATGCGTCAGGCCAACCCAGAGCCTCACGTGAAGACCGCCAGAATGATAAGAGGGACGGCGCCCAGGGCGGGAGATAGATGTGTTCTCGTCTCTAGTCCTGTCCGGGCAGGGGTCACCCAGGCCCTGGAACATGCAGTACTGGTCAGACTGGCAAATGTCTTTTACCCAGAGGGAGAAAGGGGTCTACTGGGTTCATCTGCCTCCTGACTGCTGGCTGTTAGATCCTCCTCCTATTTTCTCCTGAATCCAACCAAGTATCCATCAGGCCATTCCTGCTTAAAACTTGCTTTATATATAGACTTCTATGTAGTGAGAACCATTTTTATCCAAACACCCATGTATTACAGACTGGGTCTCAGGGTATAATTTTTTAATAAATGTAAAAGGAATGAAAACAATAGAAAACTCATGTTTGTACAGGTCATCCAGTTCTAAGTATGTACTTACTAACTTTACATTGTTGTTATTGTTTAGGCACTAAGTTGTGTCCATAACCACATGGACTGTACCCCACTAGCCTCCTCTGTCCTTTGGATTCTCCAGAAAAGAACACTGGAGTGGGTTGCCATTTCCTTCTCCAAGGGATCTTCCCACCTCAGGGATTGAACTTGGGTCTCTGACTTGGCAGGCAGATTCTTTACCACTGGGCCACCATGAAAGCCCATTAACTACATTGTCACAGGTTGAACACTTGCACCATCTTTAATCTTTGTCAGCACTGCTATTTGCTTTTGTATTCTTATATTGCATTCCTTTCTGTGTTTTCTTAAGGTCCTTTTCTTCTCACACAGGTTGTGTCATACAAATTTTGTGTGTAGCTTTTCCTCATTGTAGTTTAAGTGATCATAAACCATGCTAAAGCCTATTGTATTGTCACCCAGATGGGTTCTGAATTTGAAGACTAATATGACATCTGTGTGTTCCTATGTACTTTGGTTTATTATTTCTAAATATTTTAGGTACTGTTTCCTTTCTAGGGTATAGGGCATCTTATGAGCATTTGTATCTGCTGAAGCAATCCATTAGTAGTGATAAACACTCTGGTACAGATAATTAATGGGGCCTTCATGTTGACTGCTAGATATCAGGTAACCAGAGAGGAAAAGAAAGTTTTTACTGTGTTGAAAAAAAATTGTTTTAATACCATTCACACACATATGTGGGACTTCCCCCATGGCTCAGGAGGTAAAGAATCTGGCTGCAATGCAGGAGATCCGGGAGATGTGGATTCGATCCTGGGTCAGGAAGATCCCCCTGGAGAAAGGAATGACAACCCATTCCAGTACTCTTGCCTGCAAAATCCCATGGCCTGGTGGGCTACAGTCCAGAGGGTCACAGAGAGTCGTAAACAACCGAGGGACTGAGCATATATATGTAACAGGCATATGTATCCCTAACAAACAGAGAATGTTGTTTGGTATGTTTTAAATTTCATATAACTAACGTCATACTGTATTATTTTGTACCTTGCTTTATGGCTCCATAATGAAATGTACTAAAACTTCATTCACTTATTCTCACTGCTACATAGTATTGCACCAGAAATATATCACCCCACTCCCTTCTTGACGGTTAGTTTCTTTCTAGTTTTCACCATTACAAACGATGTGCATTCCTACTCCACTTGTCCTAGAATTTCTCTCCAGGTCAAATTTGTTGTGATAGAATATATGAACCTTACTGGACATTATTTGTATTTTTAAATTAGTCAATCATTTTTTGGCTGTGCTGGGTCTTTGTTGTGACTTGAAGCCTTCTCTGGTTGTGGTGCACTGGCTTCTCATGCTGGCGGCCTCTCTTGTCACACAGCATGGGCTCTGACGCACAGGCTCAGCAGTTGGGGTGTGTGGGCTTAGTTGCTTGGCGACATGTGGAATCTTCCCAGACCAGGGATCAAATCCATGTCCCCCTGCATTGACAGGTGGATTCTTAACCACTGGACCACCAGGGAAGTCCTACTGGGTGTTATTTTTCTAGAATTGATGTGCCAATTTGCCCTCTCACCAACAATGTATGAGTTCCCATTTTTCTACGTCTGATATCTTGATGTGGTCAGACTTTTTTTCTAACATTAATAAAGTGGCATTTTGCTTTATACATGAGTTTGGTTTTCCTGTGTCAGTCATTCATGCTGGTAATTGTGGACCTGCAGGGCTTAGGATCTTGCTATAAATCATGTGGCGAGGCTGAAAGATAAGCTATGGACAGAGAAATATATTTACAAAGCACATATTCAAAAGAGGTGGAGTCTCTAGAATATATAAAGAACCTTCAAAACATGGTAGTTAAAAAACAATCTATTTAGAAAATGGATAAAAGACGTATTTCACAAAAAAGGCATCAGATGGCAAGCACATGAAAACATGTTCACCATCATTAGCTCTTAGGGTAAAGACAAAGCCACGATGAAATTCGGGCAAAGATATGAAAAACTGGGTCACTCATAAGTTGCTGATGGGAATGTAAAATTATTTGGTCATTCTAGAAGAAAATTTGGCAGCTTTAAAAAAATCCAAGTATGCAACCATTCTATGACCCAGCATGCACCCCTGGTCATTTATCCCAGAGAAATGAAAACTTACATTCACATAAAAACCTGAGACAAGTGTTCAGAGCAGCTTCATCTATAATAGTCCCAAACTGGGAACACCCCCAAATGGCCTTCAGTGGATGAATAAATGGTTAAACCAATTGTGGTACATCCATACCATGGAATACTATGTAACAATAAAAAGGAAAAATAAAAAGGAAAAAACTATTTTACACATAATCCAGATGAATCTCCAGAGAACTGTGCTGAGTTAAAAAAGTCAATCCCAAAAGGTTACACACACGATTCCACTTATGTAACATTCTTGAAGTGGCAAGATTATAGTGAATATGGAGAACAATCTATTATGGAGAATAGATCAGTGGTTGCCAGAAGTTAAGGACACAGGAGAAGAGGATGGGATGGGAGAGAAGTGGGGAAAAGGCAACATGCAGGATCTTCAGGGAGATGGGATCATCTTTCCTATCAGTGTTAAAGTACTGGCTGCGGTATTGCACTATCGTTTTGCGAAATGTTACCACTGGGTAAAGGATACCTGGAATCTTTCTGTATTATTTCTTACAATGGCATGTTGTTGTTTAGTTGCTATGCTGTGTGGGGCTCTTTGTGACCCCATGCACTGTGGCCCGCCAGGCCCCTCTGTCCAGAGGATTTCCCAGGCAAGGATACTGGAGTAGGTAGCCATTTCCTTCTCCAGGGGATCTTCCCAACTAGGGATCAAACCTGTTATCTCCTGCATTGGCAAGTGGGTTCTTTACTGTCTGAGCTACCACAGAAGCCCATACAAATCTACAGTTACCTTAAAATAAAAAGTTTTTACAAAGCCTATTATTCTCTATCTGTAACTTCTTAATCAGAGATTAATGAACATAATTGAATTATTTAAGAATCAAGGTTATTGCTTTAAATAGCAATCTGAAAAAAGGCAATACTCACAGGAACACCAGCCTCAGTCTCTTACCTTTAAGGTGGTCTCTTCTTTTGTCTGGCTATTCACATTAGCCTGTTTCTCCTCTGCTCCCCTCACCCGCCCCCCCACCATCCCCCAGCTGTTTCTCTTGCTGTGGGTCAGAAGGTCATCATTCATGTGTCCATGTTATTTTCAAGCCAGCAAGATTTTGAATGAGGGCCTCTCTTAACAGAATAAGCACATGACTTCTTAATGATGATTAGTAATTTGAGAACAGCTTTCTACTTTCAGCAGAAGTATTACATAGAGACAGAGGATGAGATGGTTGGATGGCATCACTGACTCAATAGACATGAGTTTGAGCAAGCTCTAGGGGACGGTGAAGGACAGGGAAGCCTGGCATGCTGCAATGAATAGGGTCACCAAGAGTTGGACATGACTGAGCGACTGAACAACAACAATCACACAGAGAAATAAAATGGATGAGAATAACATCTTGAATTAAAATACTTGATTTGAAAAAAAAAACCTGATTTGACAGTAAGAATTAATCCTCAAACATTGCCAAACTCATCTATTTAAAGTTAAAGGAAAATAGCTGAGAAAAATTCTTCCCTTTTGAGCAAAGCAGTCAGGATGGTAAAGACAGGTATATTTATTTCATATGACAGCACATTTCACAGGATATGTTCAGTGATTATATGCCACCGACTTTAATACTGTACTCCTATAAAGTATATAGTTATAAATACTGTGTGCCACATAAGCAATAAAATTCTTACATATAAACAGCAATCTACTATAGAGAACAAAGAATTCACAGAGATCCTTAGTGTCTAGCTTCTGCTCTGCTTTTAACAGAACTGGTCAATATTTTAATAATATGCAGAATAATGGCTAGTTATTGCAGCATACCTTTAACTGTCTGTCATAACTTTGTGCCCTTTTTCAGCAACTTGCCAAGTATCAATAGAATTTCCTGACAAAGGCTGAGCTGCTGCTTGATATGTATATTTTAGACAGTAGTTTCTATTCAATGGGAAACACTGCTCACAGAACTGCAGTTGCACTAAAGTTTATAATGAGTTATTTTCCTAACGGAGAGCAAATACCGTATACACTAATCACACAGATGTTAAAGCCACAGTTTCAACAAGTTAATTCACATTTTGAAGCACACTGCTTATAGTAATACTGCTGTTTAAAATATACTACTGCTGAAATGATTAGAACCCCCCAAAAAGCGCAATATAAAACTCACAAGAGTTATTTCTAACAGCAAGTCCTGGCTGTTAATAGAGAGAGAATTACTTTTATAAATATAGTATTCTGATAACATTTGAGCATTTAGAAAAGTGCTTTTTTCCTAATAGATTTGCTTTATGTGGTTAAGTGCGACGCAGCTTGCTGTGCTTTTCTACATCTTATGTATTCTTAGCCGTTAACTCCATTTTCTGATATTCCCCCAATGCACGTGTTAAAGGTTAAATGTGGACAATGGAATTCAGGTGACATTTACAACTGTTTGTATAAAAGGAATGCTAATATAATGGGTAAAGGTGATTTCAAACTGACAGCAAAACAACTATTGCTCCAGGAATTTTCTGATTAGGATTCCTCAATGATATCAAAATACTACATTCTGTAGAAATTATGAACGTCTTCATAAAATTAACCAAAAGCAGGATCAGCTGCATACTGGCAGTGCAGGAGACAAAATCCACAGCTAATTTGAAGTGTAGCCTCTAAGAACGTAAAGCAGCATCACAGATGGGGGAGAGAACACACGGTAGATTCCAGTTCAGCGACCCCCAGGGTGGGCGCTGCCTGGCTCACCAGCTTGAGAAGTGAGGAAGGCCATGGGGCCTCGGACACCTTCATGGACCTTTAACTCTCATTTACTTCTCATTGAACTTGGTGGCACGTGCCTTCCTGACATCTGTGGGCAGCGTGCTTTTTTGAAAGGGCAGGAGGGTCGGTCCACACAATATGCTACTTCCGGCTGCAAGAAGCTCTTCCCCCAGAAAAGCAGGCAGAGGTGTGGGAGCAGAGTGACAAGGGGGTGTGTGGTATGGGTGTCCAGAAGGGGTGGCAATGGGGGCAAATTCTGGTTCCATTGTGAGATTACTCTAGTTTTGGAAAGAAAGATAATGGAAATATCCAAATTTCATTTTCAGCCATCCATTTGATTATATGGAAAAGAGAACTCTGTTACAACTTTTAGGTAAAAATTTAGTCTGACTTATACCCTAGAATTTAAGTGATGCAATTTACCAGTATGTAAGTGTATACATTTGTGTGTTTGTGTGTGTATACACTGTTTTTTTTAAAGCAATGTCTTTCTAAATTCTGTTTCAGTGTACCTTTGATGGCTCTTTGGTAAATACTTATAAACACCAATTGTTAACAAGTAGCAAAGGGCTGGCAGCAATGTCAGCTAGAAGTTGTCTGGGCTTTTTGAGATGCTTTAAAGGAGACTGATGAAGAATGTCTGAATGAGGACTTTTCTAAAGTAGCTTCGAGCACTTTTTATGGCTTCTACTCTCTTATTTATCCAAACAGAAACACACCAAAATTCCAGTTAATAATGAGAAAGATTTTTCCTTATTTCTGATATACACATATTCCAACTCTGTACACATTAAATAGTGGTATTTCAGGACAACATCAGTGCACTTAACAATTACTTATTGCACATCATGAATAACGAATGCCCAAATCTCTTGGCTCTACCCTGCCAAAACTAAAGGGACAACTGCTCTCTACTGTGTGACTTTATCTTTCCGTCAAGTCTAGTGTGGGTGATACCTTAGAGGCCAGGGCTGTGAAAGGGTCTGCGGGAGGGGTGGTGCCAGGTGGGAGCAGAGGGACAGGCGGTGGGGGTGGTCTTCTTGCTGGCAACACACAGAAAGACACATTGGTACTTGTACCCCAGTCATCAGCAAGCGTCACCTTGGAGCCAGGAGATGAGCTCGGCTGCTTACCCAGGAAAACATCTGGACGAGTGGACCCTGACTTCCCTGTCACAGCAAAGTCCTCTTCCTCCTCGAAGGTTACCCATCCTTTGGGGTTGCTGACTGTTAGTACAGGCGGGCCCTGCGGATCAAAACTGTCCTTAAACCCATCCAGGGAGGATGAAGGCTTGCTACTGTTCTGACCCAGAGGCCTCAGCGAAGAGAATGGACTCTGAGCAACAGGCTCTTCTTTGGAGAACCATGAAGTGGCCTCTGATTCTTGAGACTCAGCTCGAAATGGGTTTCTGGGAACGGCAGTCCTGTCAGTAAAAGGATTTGTGCTGCTTGAGCTTGGGATGAATGGATTTGGGGAACGTCGCATGTTTTCCTGGGATTTACTCCGGGCTGGAATTGGAGGCATTGTCGGCATGCAGCTTACAGAACTCAGAGTGTTTGCGTTACTTGGGGTTGCAGAAGGCAACGGCGTCAGCCCCCTTGGGCTTGGGGTGTGAACAGATGGCTGAGCCTTTGACACAGCAAGCAGGGTCAATGACAAGTCCTCAAATGGGTCACTCTTTAATGGCGAGTCCAGTCTGACGGTGGAGACTCCGTTTGTTTTCACCTGGGAAAGAGAGAGCCCACTGAATAATGAGAACAAACAAAAAGCAATAGTTACTTTGAGTGCCCCCTCTGCTTTCTGTCTCAATTCTTCTTCATTCTGAGGGGTCACGTATACAAACTCAGAAAATAAAAAAAGGAGCTTTGTGTAGTCTGTTACTCTGGAGGTTACACAAGTACCATGAAATATTCTTAAAAAAAAAAAAAAACCCTGCTAATTAAGTTCTTTTATAAATACAGCTTATTTTATCCATGCAAGTATTGATATGTAAAAATGGAGAACTGCACTGAATTAGCAGATGAGTTTGGTTCATGCCCAGTTATATCAGATTATCAAATGAACTAAGAAACTCACATTCAATTCAAAGTTTATGCTAAATCGCTATGAATAAGCTTCCAACACCCATCTGTGATGATGATGTGGTTTCAATGTTTTTTGAAATATATTTTCATTGAGAGTTAATGTTACTATGGAAATTCAACTTTATGGATAAAAATTAATTTTATTAGTATATCTGTATTCATAAGCTGAAGACAATGCATCGTTTCCTTTTCCACTGTAGAATAAAATTTTCAAAGCATTCTTTGCCTTTTAATGTCAGCTCTCCTCTGTAGAATAAATTCTGAATAATGTGAAAAAATTTTAATTGACCTTCCTCATCTTGTAAAAATATTCCAAAATAGATAGGTTTATTAATAACTAACCACAATGATTCTTTAACACTGGATGGGGTGGGGGGGTGAAATCCCGTTTCTGTCTGGGATAGTAATTCTGCAACCAAAATAAAGCTATGCGTGGCAGAGCTGGCTGTGAGTGGCTACTGCAGCAGGAGCGGTCAGGTTCACTTCACAGTCAGGAAAAGCCTGCCCCGTGTGCCCGGTTCACAGAGAAGCCGGCTGGAGTGGAGCCCGGCTGTGGTACTGGGCACAGGCTACTTTCCTAAGGGAAACAGAACTGAAGCCTGGCTGTTTGAGAAAAGTAGCTAGCTTATTGGGAACTCTATTTTAATTAAAAAAACAAAAACAAAAAAACACTATATATAATTACTAAAACTAGGTGGCTAACTTGGATATTTATGCCAAATTAAAGCTAAGAAAACCACAGGAGAGAGAATTTTATTCAGTTAAAGACGCAACGTACAAAATGGAGCATGATCCAAAATGAATTTAAGTCATTGTTACAGCAAGTAACTAAACATAAGATATGTTGAAAAAAAGAGCCGCAGTCTCAAAACATTGTTTTGCTGTTGTTTTAGTTGCTAAGTCGTATCTGACTCTGCAACCCCACGAGACGACTACAGACTATAGCCCACTAGGCTCCTCTGTCCATGGGATTTACCAGGTAAGAAAACTGGAGTGGGTTGCCATTCCCTTCTCCAGGGAATCTTCCCAACTCAGGGATCAAACCTGTGTCTTCTTCTTTAGCAGACAGATTCTTCATCACTGAGCCGCCTGGGAAACTCCAATAAAAAGTAATTTTATCTTATTGAACAGTAACTTGGCGCTTAAGAATAGGGAAGGCTAATTCCCGTCCGATCCAGTGGTCAGGACTCTGTGCTTTCACTGCCAGGGCCTGGGTTCAACCCCTGGTCAGGGAACAAAGACCCCACAAGCCACATGGAGTGGCAAAAAAAAAAAAAAAAAGGAATAAGGAAGGCTGCTCATTTGCAGAAGGAAATGGTGTGGATAATTTCTTAGGTGACTCACTCTCTAGGATCTATTTTATTCAACTAATCTATAGTATACTTTAAGTAAACAAGTTTAATTTTTTTCAAACTTAATATGACAATAAATTTGTACAAAATTAAAGAGCAGACATGTCATGGATTCTAAACTGTATTCTAAGTGTATTACAGAACTTAAGAGACAAATTTACTATAGACACTGTAAAATTACAATTAGCTATATATTACCAATAATGACTGGGTTATTTACGATTCATATGACAAAACAGAAGTACTTGAGTGGGTCTGGGCCCTAATTCTCCCATAGTAGACAAAGAGTCCATGACACAGACATTATAGGTAGGAAGTTTATGCTTTGTACAGCTTAGAATAATAGGCCTTTGCCAAATAAATGTTGTACATTTAAATATCTTTATTTTCATATATCAATTTTTTCTTTCAAAATAAGTTAAAGGTAATTTAATAGAAACATGATCATTTTGCCCAAAGCGATTTGAAATTATGAGAGCCACATCATCATTCATTACATTAGAATGAATTTCTATGTATCTAAGCAGCATTTATGATGACTTGACATTAATGATGATGGTATTTTTACAGAGAAGGGTGTTGGAAAGGCCCTTAAATAATCCTGCTATAATGTTAATTTCATCTTTGTAAATCATCAATTCTTCCTTAACAAAAAAAAATCATGCTACTATTTTTTTTAATTTCCCAAAAGAAATCTAAGAAAAAAACTGAATTTTGTACTTACATAATTATGCCACTGTTAAAACCAAGAACCAATTTGGTTTTGCCAAATACACTTTCATATATCTAAAGCTTACCTTCTTCAAGTTATACTTTTTAGTCTTGTTAATTTTTGTAAAAAAAAGCAAAATAAATGGGAAAGCATTAGCAAGAATAACTAAAATGGTTCCTAAGAATTCCAAATACTAAGAAAAAAAGCAGGTTCTATGGTATGATAACAGAATTTATTAATGTGGACAGGTGGTTTTTTAAAATGGGTGAAAATTTAGATGTATGAAGCAAAAGATTCATACATCTAATGTGCTAAGACAGATGAGAAGCACATATAAGATTGAGAAATAATCCGATACCTGTTACCCTGATGGTTGCTCCTGCTTTGAGAAACGAAACACAGACATCAAGGGAAAAGGGAAAGAGTTAGGAGGACAATCTGAGACCAACCAGCAACCCTAACAATTCAGTCTTCAAAACACTTTCAGTTTTATATTATGTACAAAATCCAAGAGCAGTGAGATCTGCACGTCACAGTATAAGATCAAGAGACAATAAAATGTACTGCTGTAATAGGGCTCAGGACTTAATTTTGTCTGAGGTTGGTTACTAACTAGTTCAAAGTAGTCATTCTAAAAATAATATTCCAAATACATTATTGGAGCACTGAAGTATTTTCAGCAGGCCATGGATGAAATGTTTGTGTCCCCCCCAGATTCGTATGCTGAATGAACCCCAACCTCCTTTATATGATGGTATTTGGAGACGTGGCCTCTGGGAGGTGACTGGGGTTAGATGAGGTCATGAGAGTGGGCCCTCTCGATGGAACTAGCACCCTTTGGAGGAGACACACCAGAGGGCTTGCTCTTTCTTCCCTTGTGCAAGCACCAAGGAAAGGCCATGTGGACACAGGAGAAGAGGCCCTGGCAGAAACCCAACCATGCTGGCATCCTGATCTCAGGCTTCTAGCCTCCAGAACTTGAGAACACAAATTTCTACTGCCCGAGTCACCCAGTTCATGGTATTTTGTTACGGCAGCCCAAAAAGGTTAGGACACAGCCTTAAGACAAGTCTATGGGTTTATCATGATTAGAGAAATTGTACAAAATGGCACCACTTTGTGGAAAAGTGAAAACTAGTATTTATTTTAACATGGTTAGGATCCAGGCTTGTTCTATTACTCTATCACTCAAATTTTCTGAAGGGTGATACTAAAGATGAAATCACAATCTATAATATAGTAGCAGTACTTTAAAAAATTACAGTATTCTTAAGAAAGTTTGAATAAATCTTCCCCAATATTTAAAGCTTACCTTATTTTAAAATACCAAAACTCACTTAGACAGTATAGAGAGACACCATGCTAAAATAAATTATTTTATAAATAATGTATTTGTTATATATTATATAAAATGTGTTACTACAAAACATGAGACTCCTCAATTTAACCTTTCTTGATAATCCTGATACATTAGTTTGGAAGACTTGGATAAAAACTGGGAATGGGTTTATACTAAGATGCAAGGGGGTGGTATTAAATTGATCCAGAAAGCTGAGATTTTTTTTCTTTTTTGGCTGTGCTGTGAAGCATGCAGGATCTTAGTTCCCTGACCAGGGATCAAACCCGTGCCCTCTGCAGAGTATGCACGGGGTCTTAACCACTGGACTGCCAGGGAAGTCCTGAGATTTTCTACTTGGTCTCTTCTCTCACTGTCAGCTATAACTTCAATAGTATAGCTGTGATGCTATTACTTTACTTCCCATTGGATTCCTGACTTCTGGTTTTCAGCTGTTAATCAGATGACTAAGACACTGAAAGTCAGATAAGTGGAGCATTTGTACATTTTCTAAAGGATATATAACATATAATCATTTGAATTAGAAGAATCTTTTCTATTCAGAATTATAGAATCAAAGAACTTAAATAGTAATAACAAGTAAAGCTGGGTCATGTGTGTTTCTATGTTTTAAATACCTTGTATATTTTTGGCAGAAGTAATAAAGATGTGTAAAAATTACTAAGTGTTAAATTCTAAGACTATTTCATATTACTACCAAAATATTAAAATGTGAGTTATTTTACTAACTTACCCTTTTCGAGTTATAGCCACTATAGAAGAATTTTTAAAACTTTAGATGTTTATTATTTTTTGAATAGGCATTATTTTTATGGTTCAAAGTTAAAAAGGCACAAAAAGTAAAATGCCTCCCTCTCTTTCTGACTGTAAGCTCCCAGGAGGAAACTAAGCTCTTTGTGATCTTTCACAAAGGCAGTCTACACATGAGCAAGACCTCCACACCCCAGAAAAGTGGGTCTGTGTATATAACGTGTAGAGAGATTTGATATCAACGACTGAGGCAAAAAAAAGGCTTAAAACAAACACCTTTCACAGTTTTAATGACCAGAATATAAGAGTCAAGAATACACACACACAAAGCACAGGCTTGCTGTGCTTTGTCACCAAATCATCATACCAATTCCAATGAAAATCAGAAAGCAAAACATGGGAAAATGACCTAAGAAAATGATACATGGCAGTCATGGAATATTCATCCTATACTATTTGTGTCATAAGATGACTTTCTGCTGAGAACTACAATCTTCCTTGACAGTGTGTTCTTTCTGAAGCTGTTCAAAGTACCACACCTATTTTCAATACAGAAAACATCTTACAGAATTTTAGGAATTAGGGTTCAACTTTACTGTGAAAATCATGATCACCTTCTGTCCTAAAACTGTACTAATACAAAGCTCTAAGATGGCTTCTTTGAAAGTTTCTTGCCCCCCGATTACACTAAAAATAAATAAATAAATAAATAAATAATAAATATAATGCTACACCTTACAAGAAAATGAAAAGAAAAAAATCATCATGCACTAAAAGTAGATTGGCACAGAGAAAATAATGGACATTTATTGTTTGAAGGACTTCTATATAATTACTATATATCCTCAGCACTGTCAACTACAGAATACTTTTTGGTGTTAATTAGCTTAAGAGAATATTATTCTTAATTATATATCTGTCGTAGCTTTTTAAAAAATGGGACCAATAGTCTAATAAGTGCTCATTACTAACAATATTCATATTGTTTCAAGATTCGTATTTACTTTATAATCTGTTTTTCACTATGAAGAAGCATAGAAACTGCTAACTTCTGCCAACTAGCTGGACATACTCATATACCTGTAAAAATAAATGCAAACTATTATTATAAACATGCTTAAGGGACATCACCAGTGTAACAGTTCTGTATTTTAGACTATTCCAAAATAAAAGCAGACTCAAACTTCACTTCTTTGACCTTGATGGAATTTTCAAGTTAAAACTTTTTGATAAAATTCAATGTGAGGCTAGACAACACAAATAAAAAGATAAGCCTTATACTAAAGATAAACTTTTACTAAAGATAAACCTTATTTTAATGATTTTACTGAGATGTATATAATAAAAACTAAGTAAAACAGCCTCCACGTAAAACAATTCAATTTGCATGAATATCCTTGTGTTGAAACAACTTTGTGTATACACACCAGAAGGCTTTCCAATGTGAGATCACTCTGGGATAACAGAAGTCCCTGTGACCCTGTGATTTCCACTCACCAAGGCAATGGCACTATTTTCTATGCGATACTCATGAGAACATGGTTTTTACTTTGGCGAATAAGCCTACTGCTGCATGCCTGAAACATCTAAATGGATCCAGTAGTATCTGAAACTGTTAGAGATCCCCAAGGAAGCCCAGTGCCAGCTCCATCACAGAAAAGACCTAACTGCAGCATCAGGAGAAACAGGATTATTGGAAATTTACTGCCAATGGCCAGGGACTGACCTGACTGCCTTTCTGTCCAGGAGGTAAAGGTCAAAACTAATCTAATAGCTGTGAACAAAAAGAAACTAAATTATTACTGTCCATTCTAATTAAGTATCCAAAGTAAATTATACACAGAAAAACCAAAAAAATCACCTACGCTTTAAACAAGGCAAAACAGCCTGGGAGCCATTTGGAAGTTTTAGGGAAAACAGCCTTTAGGGAAAGAGCCCTAATCTAGGGTCACTCTCTGAGAACTCAGGAGGTTCAGAAGGCAAGCTGTGGGACGACCTGCTCCGAGGGGGCGGCTGTGGGGGCGTTTCCAGGCTGGGCTGCAGGGCAGCCTGGGTCAGAGGTGCGGCCACTGGGATGAGAGGCTCCTGCATCTTCTGAAGAGGTGGCGGCAGAGAAGGCGGCACAGGAAGGGCGGCCTGAGGCTTCAGGGGTTCAGGAAGAAGAGCTGGCCCTAAAGAAAGTCATTTCCAGATGTTAGGCGTTCTCTGGAAAACTGTGTTTATCCTTCCTTTTGGGAAATGGTAGGAGATTCCAGTCCCTTTCCCAGCCCCCAGTAGCCTCCTTTATTATGGCATACAGAAAGACAGGAAAAAAAAAAAAGATAGAGAGAAAGGCTACCTCAATTTGAGTAAGTTGTATAAATTGAGAGACTGCAGAAAGAAAAAAGAAAAGAAGTGGAAGGGAGGGATACACTGTCGTTTCGACTACAGGTCTACCTTTCTGTACTTCTGAGGGTTTGCTTTGGCTTTCAGGAGTCAGTCTCCCAGCAGATGCCCGTGCGTGGCTCTGGGGGGCGCTGATGACTCCAGCACGGGGTGGAATAATCTAAAGATGGGAAATGAAAACCATTGAGACATTTACCTTATGTGCAATGGATAAGATTTGGTGAAAATATTGTTTGTGCATCTAGTATCATTTCCTCAGCCTCTGGTCATTCTAATGGCTCTATTTATTGCCATATAATCATAAGTTTTGGTTTTTTTATTACGGATTAACTTTTATTGGTGCATAGTTACTTCACAATGTTGTGTTGGTCTCTACTGCTCAGCAACATGAATCAGGCGCACACACATATACCCTCCCTTCTGGGTTCACCCCCTCAGGTCACCACAGTGCAGTAAGCAGAACTCTGTGCCATACAGCAGCAGTTTCTCATCAATTATCTACTTTATACATACTATCAATAGAGTGTGTGTGTGTGTGTATTCACACACATATATGTGTCAACCCAAATCTCCCAATTCCTCCCCTGCCTCTTGGTATCCACATATTTGTTCTCTATGTCTGTGTCTCTATTACCTGTATGCAAATAAGATCATCTATAGTATTTATCTACATTCCACATATATGGGTAATACACAATATTGTTTCTCTCTGTCTTACTTCACTCTGTATGATACTTTCTAGGTCCATCCATGTCTCCACAAATGACCCAGTTTTGCTCCTTAAGCTTCAAAAATCTTTTTATTTTTCACTGTTTACTATGTGCCAGGCACTATATTAACCAAGCATTTGGGTATGCATTTACATTTCAATGTCCAAATGGCCCTAGGGGGTAAGGTATTATTTCATCATCTCTAACTTAAATGAAAATGAAGAAATGTGTACAACCGTCCCAAAGCCACAGAGTTAGAAAATACAGCCAGGAGCCGAACTCAAGGCCCGTGTTCTTTATCCTGTATCATGCTGCCTTAGTGGGACGATGTTACAGGTCATGAGGAGATGGAGCGGGACATACACTGTGGAACTAAGAGGCTTACCAAAAACTACACTGAGGCTGTTTTTCTTTATTAAACACAGAGGTTAAAAACTCTGGAATGGCTAACTCAATGTGCTGAAATACATACGCTGGAAGATACACTGGGGAAATAACGTCCTTTTCTATCTTCACATGTTTGCTGAAGGCTTTAAGCACTCAGTACCTTTTTCTTATTTTTTTATAAATTGGAGGCTAATTGCTTTACAGTATTTGCTGGCCTCTGCCATACATCAATATGAATCAGTCACATGGAGGTATATGTTCCCTCCCTCCTGAATCCCCCACAGGCACACACATGTCCCCTCCCTCCTGAACCCCGCTCCCATCTCCCACCAGGCTTCTAAGCTGTCACACAGCACAGGGCTGAGCTCCGCGATGCCCACCTGCTGTCTGTGTTACACACGGTAGCATATACGCTTCCATACTACTCTCTGTTAGTCCCACCCTCTCCTGCCCCCGCTGTGTCCACAAGTCTGTTCTCTCTATCTGCGTCTTCGCTGCTGCCCTGCAAGCAGGTTCATCAGTACCATCTTTCTAGATTCCATGCATAAGCAAAAGTTACGAATGTAATTGCACAAAATCCTGACTTTCCTTCCCTATTCTTACAATATTCAGTAAGCAAAGTACTTTGTGGGAAGTGGTAGAGTCGGTGAATAACAATTTCCCCTTTTTTAAAAAAACAAAAACAAAAACAGGGGAGTGGATAATGGCTATTTTAAGTATATTCCACAGACACTTTACTTTGGAGCATATTATATATAGAAAAAGGCCTTCAGGTTGGCTACAAGACAAAAAACAAAATATCTCTAGCTTAGAAATCTTATGAGAATTTCTTAGACTCTTGAAGTAGTTTCATTAGGAGAAGTTTCTTCATTTCCAGGTATAGTCACAGTTTCCAGGATTCAGCTGGTGGCATCCAAATAACCCCAGGCTCCACCAGACTGACACTGGTTTTTCTTTCCTTTATTTTTTAATTTTTTTTTTCTTTGAATTACTTGTTCTATCCCAGAGAAATTTTCGTGTGAGTGAATAATAGAATAATTCTGTGTATAATAAAACACAGATAAACACGCAGAAAACCACAGACTTACAACGCAGGGTGAAACCCTGCAATGCCATCTGCTCTCCTGCAGTTAAACCTTTAGAACTGGTTTTAGCTGACAGACTATCATCAAAGGGCTTCCTGAAATCTAATTTTAAAATCCTTCCGGACTTCCCTGGTGGTCCAGTGGTTAAGACTTGTGCTTCCACTGCAGGGAGTGCGGGTTCAATCTCTGTTTGGGGAACTAAGATCCCGCATGCCTCAAGGTGCGGCAAAAATAAATAAGGAAATAAATAAAATAAATTAAAAAATAAGGAAATAAAAGTAAAATAAAATCTTTCTGATTGAAGAATGACTTTACCTCATTAATTACGCAGATAATGTCATAAAAAGTTGCCCTACTACGTCACTTCCCCATATATTTCAAGATTCTAAGATATTTACTTAGTGACTGTAATCACGTAACTGTACCACTTTTATTCAAATAATGAAGGCTGCTTTTACTTCTGAAGAGGATATCAGAATACCGTTCGAGGTGAAGGTGGGGCTGCCCTGGTGGCTCAGTGGTACAGAATCTAACTCTCAATGCAGGAGAAGCAGGTTTAATCCCTGGGTTGGGGAGATCCCCTGGAGAAGGAAATGGCAACCCACTCCAGTAATCTTACCAGGGAAATTTCAGACACAGAAGCCTGATGGGCTACAGTCCATGGGATTGCAAAGAGTCGGACATAACTCAGCGAGTACACACATAACACACACACAACTCAGAGAATAAAACACACACACACACACAGACACGAAGGTACCTTGAAGAGCATCAAGTCTAATTCCCCCAGTTTAGAATTGAGGAAATTGGAGTCTTAATGGGCCCACGATTTCTTCAGGGTAACACATATGATTAGTAGCAAGCTGGGACCCAGGACCTAGACCTCCTGGCTCACAAGCGAGGTGCTGCCTACCGGTCTGGCTGCACTGTGTCCGGCAAGTCCCGGGCCTGGCAGTCCGGCTTGAGGTGGAGGCTGGCTGCGTCCTGGAACAAAGGCATTGCACCATGTAGCTCAGGTGTGTGTTTGTTTTTTTAAAGAAAGAAACAAGAAACCATGTACTTATATCCACACAGTCTACTTATGGTCCAGTTTTAAGGTTAAGTAGCTGAATTCGAACATTTACCTAGATTATCTCTCCGTGTTGTTCCAGGGCTTTTGGGCGCTTTGAAGCAGGAAGGAAAAAAAATTAGCCATAAGTAAACAATCAAGCCATATTGTATACTACTAGCTAGCTGTTCTGTTTCATTACCAGCAGAAATGGGGGCACAAGGTGGAAAAAGAAAAACAAACTATTTTGTTTTAGAAATGCTGGAGGGTGTCATCAGCCCTTTAGAAAACACCCCCAAAAGAGAAAAATTTAGACTACCGAGAGTGACATTTATGGGACAAGTTGGCAGTTGGTCTGATACCTCACTTGGAAGGTAACCTTCCCAACAGAGCTCTTTCCTGTGAACCCTGAAAACACACGATCAGTTTGGGGGAACGATCACAAGACGTGGCCCCACTGTTTCCCAGAGCTTGGTGGGCTCACGGCTCCAGGACCAGTAGACCTGCACGTTCCGAGTCACATAAGACACCAAACAGCACTGTTTTAGGGCTTTATGCTGTAGATGTCAGTACGGATAAGGACTCTTACAATGAGATCTTTTGGATTTCTACAGAAAAACCCTATCATTAAGGTAGAAGGCGGGCACTACTTATTACAATATCTGCCTTAGACAAGACAGCGTTGAAATACTGCTCAAACTCATTCAAAATGTAGGAAAAGACTGAAATGAAATAAACTACTTTTGGGACCAAAAGGAGCAGGAGACACTATTAAGGTCACCATCTCAGATTTCTTCTTTTTGAAAGGAAATTCAAGTGTAATTGTTACATGAAACCCATCAGACTTTTAATAAGTGTAATCTTAATGAATGGCTTCCAGTTTTAATAGCCTTTTAAGCAGATACTCAGCATATTTATGTTATCTGAAGTTAATTAAAAAAATACTATATCCTCAGACTGAATTAACAAGGTTTAACTATTAATTTTTAATACTTCAGTTAGTATAGTACATTTCTAAACATTTGACTTATTCTGAAAAGAATTTCAAAGGCGTTCTTCTTAAAATAATACTGCACATTAATTTCACATCTTGAGTATATATGAAATATATATATATAGAACAGCTCAAAACAACATTTTAAGAATTGCAGAGAAAGTAAATGGACAACCGTCAGAAACAACACAACACAGAATGAAAATAGAAAAAATACAAAGTTACAAGATATACATAAGGAGGGGGAGGGGGAGTTTACAGTTGGACCGAGAAAAGATTTGGTATGTCTTTAAAACACCGGAGGGGCTGACATTTAGAAATAAAACGAGAGACCCATTTCTAGGATGCAAATGTCTTGTTACCTTCCATCTCTCGCCTAGCTACCCCCGGACTGGGAGGGGCTCCACCACCTTTTTAGAGAGAGAACAGAAGCTGTGTATTGTTCAGGGCCCATAGCACACAGGGAAAGGCAGGCACACAAAACAGTTTCTGAGTTAAACTTCCTTTTGCAGAAAAAGTTCTTTTACTGCTTCAAATTTCTTCAAAGATATCTGTATAAACCAAAGTGCCTCTAGATGCCTGGCCCAAACCTGATTCTGGCCCTTTCTTCAGTTAGAATCGAAAGGAGAAAATAGTTTTCTTTTTATATCTGACATCATGGGAGGATTCCCTGGAGAAAGAAATGGCAACCCACTCCAGCATTCTTGCCTGGAGAATCCCATGGACAGAGAAGCCTGGTGGGCTACAGACCATGGGGTTCCAAAGAGTCGGACACAACTGAGTGACTAACACTTTCACTTTTTCACTAGCAGTAGGGGAATTGAAAATATGTGTAATGAAAGTCTTTGCTTTTTAATCATCTCATTCTTTATATTCAGAATTAAACCACTAATAAAAGCTCCGATATTTGCCAGTCATAAAGGGAAAAAAAAATCTGAAAGTTCCAATTTCATTTTAAATCTCTATGAGACTATGTTAGTCCCTTAGAAGGTAATTTTCAATGCATTATTTAAAAAAAAAAAAAAGAACTCTAAAAGTACTATAATTACTTTCAGCTTATTGCCTTCAAGCAGTTATTGGTTTACAGGCTTAAAAAAACATGCTGCGAACACTGCCTACAAAAGAATTATGAAGAGAAGCAATTTTTTTAAAACTACATCAGATTTCTAAGTAAGTCACTGAGTTGCTAATGTGTATAGCTTTTCACAAATTTCTTTAAAATTTTTATTTTTCTACAGATTGGTCTCCTAATTAAAGGGGAAGGTAAATAAAATCTTCCATGAAGCTATAAATTAAAACACAAGTCTGAAATGGGAAAAATCAATGTTTTCTTTAAGTTAGTGGAAAAGTTACCCTCCAGTAGTATCTTATAGAAGCTTTGGTGCTGAAAGAACTCTGCTACCCTTATTATCCAAAGTCATTAAAATCTGCACACAGCAAGTCAATCTGTGACAGCATGTGAGTCAGTCAGTGATGTCTTTAGGCAGCTGGAGTAGGAGGAGACCAGCTGCATGTGCACAATGAGCCTAATGATGTTAAAACTGGATCAGTGAAAGCTCTTCTGTGGGACTGAGAGATTCTGCCTGAACCTTTCCTGAGAACTAGATTAAATAAACTTGTCAAATGTATACCTCTAGTTGAGCTTTGTGAGAGTTTTCATGTAAAACAAGTAAACTACAAAAAGTGACCCATGTGTTAAGAAGAATATCTTTATGGAAATACATAACAGAGACTTGTTATTCTATTTTAAAAATGAGGCATGAATGTTATGACAAGTTATGATAAAGCCATGCAAAATGAAAGCTATATTTCAGATAATTATGATAACTTTAAATTGCATTCCTAGGATATTTTGCTAATTCACAGGTTACTGGCAAGATGATGTACTAAAGTTCTAATATAATCCAATATAATCAAATCCTTGGGAAACCACCTGTCTTCATTGTGTTTGACTTACTTAATCTTTATAACTGAACTGGCTATATTTATTAATAAAAAGTATATCAGGCCTTAAGTAATTCAACTCTGTTTATCTGGGAAATGGAAGGTCTTGTTAATTCTAATAATATTCACTAATAAAATCAAGCTCTAATCTTTTACCAGAAATATAATGGAAGTTTGGAGTTATTTTTAAGTTGAACTATAAATGTCATTCATCTTGGCTTTCATCAAACCAACCTAAAATGTCATTGAGTTACAGGGCTCAAACTCCAAAAAAATTAATGAACCAAGATCCATACATTATAACAAATATAAATGGTTACCTCCAAACTCTTTTCTAGCAGGTGCAGGACTCCTAGCCCCTTATAGTTCAGAAGAGAATGTGCAGCAGAAAGGAAATGACATTAAATAAAGAATTGAAATGTCAAAGATTTACTATAGTTTCCAAGATGTCAAATATCATGTAGAGACTACATATTCATATCTTGGTGCTATACAAAAGCTATTATGTAACACAAATACTTCTAACAGAAACAACACTATACTTATTTTAAAAGAACATTTAAACAAATATATAAAACTGCAAACAGAAAAATGTATGTTATTCAGTTCTAATCATGCATTAAAATTTTTTTTTCATTTTTAAATAACCATGCATTTTACAGAAATCAGTACAACCACGTCAAATTAGCGAAAACAAAACAAATGTTTCCCGCGCGCTTATAAGAGGCGAGCTCTGAAAACATGTTACAGGAATCTAGCTGTTCTGTCACACCTACGCCATTTGTTAGAGAAAAGCTAACTAAGGAAGTAGCACCAATGACAGAAAACTGATAAAATCTAGAAAGAAGCGTTTCAAAAACATGCAAAACATTTTTCAGCAGAGTGGTGAAATGCAGCAGAGATAGAAATACAAGGATTTGTCACCTGAAGGCGGAGGCGGTCGTTGTGGGGGAGCTGGACGTGCGGGAGGAGCAACCGGGCGGGGAGGGGGAGGCCGCTTGGGTTCCAGGGTCTGGGAAGACTCTTTCTGCTGTAGCTGTGTTGCTGGCAGGGCGTCTACAGGAGAATCTACCAGAAAAAAGTACCTTAGGTAAGAGGATCAGGCTCCAAGGGGTGAGCACACAGGTACTTTCTACAGGCGTAAATTATTTTGCTAACCTTCTAAATCTGTACTACAGAGGGATGACACACATTTGTAGTATCAGTAACACAAGCAGCTGTGCTATTACCTTACCCTCTGGTACTACGGGAGCAGTCAGGTTACTCTCTGGACTTCTTACCCAGGCCCCGGGTACTGAAAGGGGATTTACTGAGTGGCCCTAACAAGATGGCATGAAGTATCGTGTGTTAGGTCATTTGCAATACAATCTGCTGGCCAGGACAGAGAAGAAAAAGCAAAGAGAGACTCCTCTCTATGCCCTGACTTATCCTGGATTTATTGAAGGAAGCTCTGAGGCCTTCCCTCGTGGCTCAGTGATAAAGAATCTGCCCGCCAATGCAGGAGATGTGAGTTTGATCCCTGAGTCGGGAAGATCTCCTGGAGAAGGTAATGGCAACCCACTCCCATATTCTTGCTTGGGAAATCCCATGGACAGAGGAGCCTGGCAGGCTACAATCCATGGGGTTGCAAAAGAGTCAGATACAACTCAGTGACTATTTAAGAACAGTCCTCTAAGAGTAGCATGGGGGAGCTTGAGAAACTGCTGAAATGAAAGGTATTTTTCAAGGATACTGGTTAGTGTGGAACTGAACTGTGTGATGTAACAACTTCCAGAGAAAAACCTTCTGACTTTGGAGGAGTCATGACTATCAAATTGAATTCAAAATACTTGTTTTGTCTCTTTCTGCTTCCTATTATAATGCAGGTAATGTATAGATAGTTAAGCCCAAAGAATTATGGGTTCTGACCATAATGCTTAAAAACTGTTCAGTGATAAGCCATGGACAAACCTGCCACACAGAGAAGGACAAAGTAAAGTTCTGATCTAGTGATAGCAACGAGCTTCCTCTTCACTTAGGGCGGAACCATCTACAAGGTTTCCTCTTTTGTACGCACAGAAAACATGCTACACTTTAGACTATGGATGTGAAAGTTAAGCAAAAACAGCTCTCCAAAGGAGATCCGAAGGCATCTAAAATCAAACATATCAGCCCAGGAAGTCATACAAAACTTGAAATAAAACACATACTCTGTGAAGCAGGGGGCCCGGGTGTTCTGGACGGAGCTCGACTTGGTCTCACTGGGAGGGAAGGCACGGGTCCCTCCGATATGGTAGGTGACTGGCAGGGACTGGTCCGGGGTGAAGAACTGGGGGACGTGCCAAGGCCAGAACTGGAAGACGGCTGGAGATGCTGAGGAAGGATCTCCTCTACCTCAGCACTATAGTCATCCACATCACCTAAGAAAACGCAAGGTCAGCCACCTTACCAGCACGTTAACTTTCTCAGAGATTTGTTCCCCCCCAGTCTAGGCTTAAGGGGTTAAATACATAAAATAAACACCTTAACAAGATGATACTGCAACATGTACAAGTTAAGCATGTGGGCATATATAAAGAGTTTATATGCATACAACTAGAATTAGTGCAAATGCTCTTATAGAAAACGTAATTAAAGATAGTCCCCTGGGCTTCCCGGGTGGTCCAGTGGTGAAGAATCTGTCTGCCAATGCAGATGGATATGGGTTCAATCCCTGGTCTGGGAAGATCCCACATGCCACAAATACTGAAGCCTGTGTACCACAGTGAGAGTAGCCCCTGCTCACCACAGCTAGAGAAAGCCTGTCTGCAGCAACCAAGACCCAGCACAGCCATTAATTAATTAAATTACTTTAAAAAAGACAGTCACAGCAGACACAGTAATACCTATGGCTGATTAATGCCAATATTGGCAGAAACCAGCACAATACTATAAAGCAATTATCTTTCAATTAAAAATAAACACATTTAATAATAATAATTTTTTAAAAAAAGTCTCTTGTCTCAGAGCAACAGGAGGCCCAGTGGTGGCTAACCTCTGGAGCTGGGTTGACTCCACAGCTTTCAACACGCGCTGAGCAGCACTCTCAGTGCTGGCTGAGTCGGACACTCGCTGCCCTCCCTCCAAACCTGCCTTCCAGGTCTATGGAACTGCCCCTCTGCAGGGCCCTCAACTCAGGTCAGGCCCTCACGGCAGACACAGCCACACACTCTTCCCCCGGAAGTCTCCTCACTACTTGGTGCCCTGGGCACCCCCACCTGACACGCAACCCTCTCTGCTTTAACTAAACAGGCGGGAGTTGGTTCTCCCCTGAAGTCTCCTCACCTCCGTTTTCCACAGGGTTGGGAAGTGGCGTCAGGGAGTCCCATGCCACCTGATTCCAATTCCAAAATTTTAATCTTCCAACCCTGAACAAAAAGGCCTCTTTATTTCTTGGAGGCTGTGCTGTCCAGAATTTATGTAACACCCTCAACCCCCGTTTGCCGCCATAATCTCCCACCTCCCACCTTTTGGTCACTTGAACCCATTCGTCGAGGACCAAGGAGAGAGCAAGATGGTAAGCTGGGCCCACCATCTTTGTGGCTGACACTGAAGCTGCGGTGGATAGCACACCAACAACCTGCCGCTTTGCCCTGCTGACACGCTCCTCTACTCCACACCCGTGTGCCCCTCGAACGGCAGTGCCTCTGAAACAATAAGCTCAAACACTTCCCTCTCAGTCCTGCCCCTGGCTACTCTATCCCCTCTTGTGACTCCACCGGGACCCAGGCCTTGGCCCCTCTTCCTTGGGCCCCTACTGGATTCTGCAGCTGTCCCTGCAGCTGTGCTCACAGCCTCTGGGCCGCTCCCCTCCTGCACTAGTCTTCTGTCACCCCTGCGTCAACTCTGCAGTCTCATCTCTCCACGACCGCAGACGGGCTGCTGGGTGCTGCAGACAGACAACTGCGTGGTCCTGAGGACCGCAGCCGTGTTAACTCTGTGGTTTCAGCCTTGTCTGGGCTCCCGTGGCCTCCTGGCCAACCCACAGTTTCCTGGCTGGCTCCCCATCTGACTGCTTTGCAGGAGCTTTATCTTGAACCTTCTCAAGCCTTCTGAAACTGTGCTGCCCCGCCTCCTTAGACTGCACAGAGAAGAGGGAAGTCCTAAGACTGGGAAGCCCTCTCTTCAACAGCCTGCCCCGCAGCTGTAACCTAACCCTATCTAGGGGTGGGAAGGGTGGGGCTTTGCCCACACGCGCCTGCCCTGCTCCTCCCCAGCAGGTCAGTCCCTTCCGTCAGCATTAAGCTCCTCAAGCGTCTGCACTTCAAAACAACACTTCAGAGAGCAACTGCCTGCATCTCTCTCCCGCCTCAGGCACACTTCTGTTGAGAGTTGTCTACAGACACTTCCTGCACTTCCTCGTCTTCCATCCACACCCCGATTTACCACCGTCTGGCTTCTTCACTCCACTGAAATAACTCTCCGAATGTCACCAACAGCTTCCTCCCTTGGTTCCAAGCCCAAAGGGCAAGCTGTGGCGCTCACTTCTTCTTGCCCTGCGACAGAGGATGCTATAGATCACTCTTCCTTGCCATCTTTTCTTCACTTGGTCTTTTAGTGCTATATTCTCCTGGCTCTGACATTTCTAATCATTTCTTCTGCTTTTCCTTTTATGGGCAGCCTTCTTCTGCCTGTCCTTCAAAGTCTGAATTCTGGTTCCATCCCAGGCAGTCTTCTCCCATCTCTGTATCAGGCTTCTGGCCCAGCAAATCCAAACGCAGGGCCTTGCCTAACATCAAAGCGCTGGGTTCTCTGCTGAGTGCCAGGCCCACATGCCCAAAGCCTACTTCTGGACCTGATGCACCCCAAAGATGCCTCAACTTCAACACATTCAAAACCAAATTCAGGATTCCCTGCTGGTCCAGTGGCTAAGATCCCATGCTCCCAATGCAAGGGGCCCAGGTTCAATCCCTGGTCAGGGAACCAGATCCCACATGTCACAACTAAGAGTGCATGCTTAAGATCCCACGTACTGCAACAAAGACCCAGTGCAGCCAAATAAATACTTCAAACAAAACAGAAAACAAATTCACCTTCCATCCACACCCACTCCTCTTCCTGCTCTTTCTTCCCTTCCTTCTGCACAAGTACATCTACATCACCTATTTAGATCCTTTTGTACCCCTTAGGTCTCCACACATTCCTTCTTCCTGGTTCATGTCTCTCTATCCTCTTTAATCTGATTCTCACTCAGTTTCAGATTCCCAATTTCAGTTTCTCTGGGTACATTCTCCTAACTGTCCAACTCTAAGTCAGGCGACTGTCCCAAGAACTACAGCAGCACCGTTCATGAGTGTGTGGATGTCACTGTCTGCTTACTTGTATGTAACACCCACTGAGCTGTGACTTCAGGGATGGCAAGGATGCCATCTGTTGAATTTCCAGCACTTAGCATGTAACTAGCACATAAAAGGTACTAAGCACAAAAGGTACTAAGTGTGGACTAAGCAAACAAATGAACACAGAAATGTGAAAACAAGCTGATCTTCTAAAGTGTTCAACTCTTAAATGTGTTACCTAGAGGTACAGGATATCACAATATGATATATTGCCCCTTTATAAACTAAGGTATGCATTATAGTGGGAAATATGTTAAAATAATACAGCATTAAAAAGCAAATACATTTCTTAATCACATTTAAGGAAATTATTATATTAAGATAACCTGGCCCAACTCTTAAACTTGAGATGATTACATCTACATGAGTGGGTTCAGTTTCAAATGTGTTCCCAGCCACTTTAAGAATTTTTTAAAATGACTCTGAAATATATCCTCTTTGGTTGTAAATATTTTGAACTCATTTCTTCACAGAGCTCCTACCTTAACTACAATCAGTGGAACCAAACGAAACACCAAAAATGCCACTTTGTGCTTATATCACACAAGGACATTAACTATTGTAAAGGTCTTGACCTTTGTACGACAGAAGGGCACATACATCTGAAGTCTGAGGAACAAGCAAAAAACACACAATATGATGTAACCCAAATCTGATTAATACTTCTCTGAGTGTTACAAGAACAAAGAGAAGGATAAATTTGGAGACTGAGACTTTGCTAATGAGAAGGAAACCTGTCTAGAAGGATAGAAGTCAGTGTGTTCCACGAGCAGACCTTCCATATCGAAGTCGGCAGTGACCTCTGCGTCTTCACCTAGGAGGGTTGAGCTGGTTGATGATGGCAAGGGGACGTTGATTTTCTCTAAGCTCATTTCTTCTTCCAAAGTTTTGATCCAGTCTGGACTTTTTAAAGTAATTGTTATAGTCCTACCCAATAACTGGTTGAGTAAAAGAGATACAAAATTAAAAATTCATTGGCATGAAAAGTAAGTATCTTGGAATAAAGTGTCTAAGTTATAACAATAGTTTAGGCTTAACTCAGCTAGATTTATTCAACACAAATCATTTCACATATACTGTATTGTCACCTAGTTTCAAATGTCCCCAATCCTCCCTTTAAAAACATACGTTAGGGAGTTTCCTGGTGGCCTAGTGGTTAGGACTCCAGGCTTTCACTGTCATTGCTGTTGTTCAGTTGCTAAGTCATGGGCCTCTCTTTGTGACCCCATGGACTGCAGCATGCCAGGCTCCTCTGTCTTGCACTATCTCTCAGAGTCTGCTCAAACTCATGACCCTTGAGTCGGTGATGCCATCACTGCCATGGCCCAGGTTTAATCCTTGACCTCAGAACTTAGATCTGACAAGCCATACAGTGTGGCCAAAACAAAACAGCCTATTGCTGCTAACCTCAGGTCTTCTTTTCTAGGATGCACACAAATTTAAGTTTTCTTTGCTGCAGTAAGTATCTTTCCCAGGTCAGATCTAAATTCACTGATAACTCTGCTACATAAATTTATACTTCCTTTTGATCCACAGATTAACTGTTTCCACATGAGACAATCAAAGAAAGGATAGTAGAAAATTCTTAAAATACTTTCCTGTTCATTTAGACTTTTCAGCATTTCAAATGTCACAAGTATACTAAAGAAAATCTAACATCATTTTAAATCTTCAACAAAAGTTAACCATTCGGAAAACAGAAAGACTGGTATCTGTGAAACTGGCACACGGACGTTTCTAAAAAGTTGAGAAGCTTTTAGACAAAAGTATAGTCTAAAACAATCAATGTATTGTAATCAAGTTACACTGTCCTGTCATATTAAAAAATACTTTCCTTAAATGTTACTGACATCAGAATTCTTTGATGGCACAGTCTGGAAAGGCTGATAGCTGCTGGCCTGAACAGCACAGTCCTGTTTAATAGGAATTCAGCATCCATGCTAGAAGTCTGAAGTCAGAACTAGGCAATAGGTTTCATGGACCATTTATTTTTTTAAGTCAACAACCTTTGTTATGCATTCACCAAAGAATACTAACAAGTCTTCTTAAGCCTCAATCACTATAATGGCCACTTAAGATGCACTTCATCAAGAATATTCACAGAGATCAGAACCAATTGAAAAGGAAGAAATTTAGATGCTGGAAAAAAAATGCTCAAGAAGATTATCCTTTAGGTTTGCCCTGCTTACACTGTGTACTTTTTCCAGATTCTCCCCTGAAATGGAAGAGTTCCTATTGATCTACTTGTATCTAGAAGATCTGGGCTGAAACAACTGTAGTAACAAAGACAGAGGAGAGGTTTGGAAATGTCTGACTTTCAAAATGTTCTCTAGAAACATTATTCTTTCAGAATTTGGAAAACCTTTTAAAGGAGCTAAGGGTGGATACTTTCTAAAAGTGTAACACAGACTTGAGGGTGAGGGACAGAGCTGAAAAAGAAGGGAGAAAAAAACTAAACAAGGAAAATGACCAGGGGAAAGGCAGAAGAAATATTCAAAAAAGGAGTAAGAACAGACAAGGAATGCCAGTTGAGAGCTGCTCTTAAATATTAACAACACCATGGGTGGAGGAAAGGCTTAAGATATTAAAGGCAGAATTAAATTTAAAAATCAGTAATTTCTATATGGTGAAACCACAGCAAAGTCACAAGACGAACTGGGAAGAACATATACAGCACATTATGAAAAGGAATTAACATCAAGGGAGCTTCAAAAGATGAATACCCCGGGGGGAACACAGGCTAAGGTCATAAACAGCTCGCCAGAGAAGTACAAAATGACCAGTTAATCGAAAAACTCTCCATTGAAATCTTAACACAGAAGTGACATTCTACTTCTAGTTTCTCAGACTGTCAAAGTTAAAAAATAATTAGGATGTTGGATGTTAGGTAATCTGAGGCATCATGCAACTAGATATTCGAAACACATTTAGATAATTGCTGCATGTATCTTAAAAACACAGTCCTCAGACACTAAATCACTGAATGGTTTAGATTCAACAAATGCTACTTTACCTCTTTCCCATTCAGGTTCAGAACACTCAAGGCAGAGCTTCCCTCCAAAAATGTAACCCACATTTTATCTTCCACAAATCTTTAAGGAAGAGAAAAACAAACAATAAAAAGACGTAATGAGTACCTCAGATGTAACCAGCCCAACGACTTTGATTACTGATCAGCAAGGACTTACAGACACCAGGAAGCAAAAATACAAGCCTGAGAGTGGCAGGGCCAGCGGTGACCTGGAGAGGGCACTTTTTCCCTAAAAGCATTCAAATTCAAATTCCTTTAGATACTGGGTTGGCCAAAAAGTCCGCTAGGGGAAGGTACGGAAAAATCCAAGTGACCTTTCTGGCCAACCCAATACAGTGTTACTAAAACTGTCTGTCAGCATGCATGGGCCTGTGGGACTCCAAATGTGCTTTGTACTTTCTTCCTATTTTTACTCAATAGGATAGGAGCATTCTAGACTTTCCCCCCAATTAATGTAAGTAGACTGCTCCATCTACATTTCCATCTAAATAAGAGATTTACATATAATTTACATATGATGACTTCAGTCCTTCCCTAATGGTTGGCATACTCTGGAGCCGAAGGTGATGACCAGTTTAGCAGACAGGTGATGGGACAGTAGTCCTGTCCTCCTTTACTTTCAGCATCTCCCCTGTCTGTTCTACCTCGGTGGTCTTAAGGTGGAACGATCAGAATATTCTAGGTGAGGAGGTATCACATGCTTTTATAATGTCAGGATAACATTATCCTTTTTTTGTTAGCAGTACTAGTTCTGTTACCAATACTTCTTCCAATGACAACAAGCATTTTGGGGAAAGCTTTTGGTTGCAATTTAACACTATCAGGGGAGTGGGTAATTTTCCTCGGCTCTGTCTCGTCACAACAAAAATTTGAGGCAACGGATGTTAAAGCCCTTGGCACATCACAGCTCTCGAACAGTGTTACAGCTCCCTCAGTTTTCTTTAGAAAATAAAGGAAGATACATCCTCGAGACATGAGGGCATGCCGACCCAAAACATGGGGAGAAGAGAGAGACAGCAAGCGAGTGCAAGAAACAGAGAACGAGCGTGCATGCGCAGGAGAGAGAGAGACGCCTGGCCCTTTGGCTCCTCTTTTTATATGTTTTTTTCCTCCCCCTGGGCCTGTCCTATGTAAACGGGGCTAGCCAGGAGGGCTGTTTGTTCTACCTGGGGTCCTCACTCCGGTCCTCGGACCTTCCTCTGTCCTATTTTCGAGGGCTTTTCCCTTGCCTTTTAGCCACCACCATTCTGGACTCCTTTTTCCTATTCTAACTACTGAGTAACACCAAGCTCTTTAGAGACTAGAAAAAAGGCAGGAAGGTCCTTGCCCTGAATCAGGCATTCATCCCTATGGACACTCTGGGCTCTCTCTCACCCAGAGAGCGCTCATTCTCTCTTTTCTCATCCCATCTTTTGGGTCGGCATGCCCTCATGCCTCGAGGATGTATCTTCCTTTATTTTCTAAATAAAATTGAGGGAGCTGTAACACCATCCAATATCTGTGATACTCCAAGGGCTTTAATGTCCGTTGCGTCAAATTTTTGTTGTGACGAGACAGAACCGAGGAAAATTACCCACTCCCCTGACGGTGTTAAACTGCAACCAAAAGCTTTCCTCAAAATGCTTGTTATCATTGGAAAAAGTACTGTAAACTCTGAGCAGGAGTTTACACTTGCTCAGAAAGACATTTATCTGCTTCTGTGCTGCCCACTCAGTCCACATGATGCTCCCAGTAGTTTGGCATTTCTGTACTTGGCAACGCTTACTGTCATTGGGAAATTTCACCATGACTTCCTGGAGTCTTAAGATCTCTAGACATTTTTTGTTTCATTTTAAACCTGTGGGGTAGATCTTTGTCAAACAATTTGAGGTAACTCTAAATATAATTTCTTCTCTATTTGCCCATTTACTCTCAGAAAGGAGAGGAGGCTTCTCAGGCAAGCTTCTCACCCTGCAAGAAACCAAGCCATCTTCATTCTGTGGGCCATTCTGGTAAACACCTAAGGAAGCCATTACACACACGCCTATCTTTCTTAGATTCCGAATAGGAACTGAGTCTTCAATTCTTCCTCCATCTGTCAGAGCACCCAGTATAGAGATTTGCCCACTAAACAGCTATACAACATCCCTCAATAAACACATGAAACAGCACAGAAAGGAATTTAACAGTACCTCTTCCCTATAAATTCAAATACACTTATTCAGTTTGTCCAAACTGCTGTACACTGGGAAGAGAACATTTTTTTCCAACAACGCAAGAGGCATCTGGTTCTGCAAAAGGCAGATGGTTAAGTCCATGGGCTGCCATTTCCTTGTCCAGGGGATATTCCCAACCGAGGGATTGAAGCCAAGTCTCTGGCACTGCAAGCAGATTCTTTACTGACTGAGCTACCAGGGAATTTCCACAAATACTCACATACTAGTCAAATACTAAGTAAGGTAATTTTTATTACAGAAGACATTATTTGCAAATCATGAGTTGCTTTTTTTTTTTTTTACATTACTCACCTTATGAGTATAACTTCACCAAAATTTGTAAACTGCTGTAAAAGCTCATCAATCAAAGCATCGTTGAAAAAATTATTTTCCGGTAAAGAGCTCCTGATTGAGACCAGCACCGTGCCATCTGGTGGACCCTGAACTGCGATTACTTCCTTATAAATGTTTTGCCTCTCTTCAGCTTCAACTTCAAATATATCAATATCGATCAGGGCAACGACAGGCCTTCAGCATAAAGGAAGGGAGACATGTTAGGAACCTTACAGAAATGATGTATTTCAAATAAATTTCAAGCATGATTAGAAATATGGAGATTGCTTAAACCTATGGTCAGAAGTCTTTAGCTCGGCCCTTCCATAGTGCAGCAAAGTGCCAGGAGTCCAAGTGTAGAGGATTTTGCTTTCATCTTGAAAACTAGCATTTAGGAGATCTAAATCTTCAGCTGCAGTCAAAATAAAACATAGGAGAAGTCACCTGAGCATGACAGACCACATGGAGCTCCTTCATTTCACTAGCTTCAGTTGCCTGAGGCTGGGATACCAGACACACTTGCTAATGGGCATGAAGTCTAGACTCGGTTAAGTCATGGTTTTTTGGTGAGGTCATCATATTACACTTTACTTAGTTAAAACTAAGATGAGCCTTTACTTCTGAGACTTCATGACCAGAGTTTTACAGATAATTGAACAGACAAGTAGCAGTTCAAAATATTTGCAAAACCGCTTGAGCTATTCCAGCTAGAAACCTCGCTTAGCACTCGGTCGTAAGTGCACCGGTGGTTTCCCTGCTGGTCTCTGTGTGACTGCTTCACTGACGGGAAGAACACTGAGGAATCAAAGCTCTCAGTGTGAGCAGCCTGAGAGGTTTCAAGTTTTATAGTTAAATTGTATTTATTTTATTCTAGATAACCTGGGCTGAGAAAAAAATGTAGTCCTCTTGGCCTTATCTGATATTTATATCATTCCCCTCTTCCTTGTAAAATCTGCACTGACTTATTTAAATGAAGAAGTCCACCTGATCTATCAAAAGGCCACTTCCGTCTTCTCCAGAGGACACGGTCTGTCCATGCAGGGGTGCGGCACTTTTCACTAGTATCGTAGTCATCAGAAAACAAGTCATATTTATACGTTGGAGCAAAGGTCACTTTTCCTTCTAAAAATCCTCTAAAAATCTATAATAAACATACATAAAGGAAGTTATTTCAAAAAGGCAAAAACATTCTGTTTTCATGCAGGCAGTCATGTACTAAATGTCTATTATGAGCTGGAGACTCATGAAATCTATGTGCCTCTGAAGAACACTTCTAACTGAATGGAAGAGGGCTTAAGACAAAATAACCTAGGACGCGGGCTTTTTCATCTCACTCACTTGACGTCTGAATAAACAAAGTACAAAAACTTGAACGATGAAATTCCACCAGACTTTTGAGCAATCAAACATTTAGAACTGTATGGGATTTTGGAAATCACATTGTGTGATGTCTCATTCTCAAGAGGAACTGGAGCCTAAGAAAGTTACATGGTATCTATCAGAATTTAAGTCTGATGATCAGAAAGGTACCATAGCAAGTAGCCTCAATCACCTCTTCCTAAAAATTGTTTTAAAATAAATTCTTCCAGTAACTTCTCTGGCAGTCCAGTGGTTAAGAGCCTGCATTTCCAATGCAGGGCAAGGTGCAGGTTCAATCCCTGGTCAGGGAACTAAGATCCCACGTGTCACACGGCATGACCATAAATAAATAACAAAAAATGAAAGTAGATTACCATAAGATCTTAAGGGCCAAACAGTCTTGATGAGTAAGATCTTAAATTTGCTACTACTGAAAGAAAAAAAGTATATTCTTCTACTTGAAAGTGAATTTTACAGAGATATGATATACTTTTCCTCCTGGAAATTATCATAAATTTTCCTTTCTTTTTCCTTTTTTTAAAAAGAGAAGGCAATTTTCTATCTGTTTAACTATAGATATATATATTTAAAAAAGGCTTCCTGGGTGGTGCTAGTGTAAAGAACCCATCAGCCAATGCAGGAGACATAACAGACCCAGGTTTGATCTCTGGGTCTGGAAAATCCCCAGAAGGGCATGGCAACCCACTCGAGCATTCTTGCCTGGAGAATCCCACGGACAGAGGAGCCTGGTGGGCAACAGCCCAAAGCATCACAAAGACGGTCACATGACTGAAGTGACTTAGCACATACTTATTAAGTATAGACTCCAAGAGGTTGTTAAAAAAGAAAACAAAAACTTTAGGGAAAGCATGTTTTCATAATCAAAGATCCCCTTCTTCCCAATGCAAGTTATCTTAGATATGTATATACCTGTCCAGCATTTTTCTGATTGATAAGCTGATCTCCTGCAATAAGAGAATCCCAGTTTTGCTGTCTGATAAGCTCCTTCACTTCCTCATTAGGGAGATCGATTCGGTAGTTGAAATCACCACACCAAAACACATAGTCATGGGAGAAGAGCAGCCTTCCCTGGAAGCAGAGAGACAGAATTCCAAACAATCAACTCACAAAATGTTTTACAACTTTTTCTTTGCCTTACCCCTGCCAGGTTTGATTTATTTAACCCCACAGTAACAACACAAGGAGTTATCTATTTGCTGACATTTCTAGGAATTATTCTAACTTTTCAAAAACTGATACAGAATATGGGGTGAACTGAATGCGCTACAAAGCTTCCTTTTTGAAAACAAGCAGCAAGAGTTTACCATTGGAAAACTCAACTTCCGAGCTATTTCTACAAAATCGTCATTTCGCTCTTTGACCTGGGACTGCCCTGCAGCGAAGTGGCTGCAGACAAAGCAGAGGCTTGTGGTGTGGAACAGCATCCGTATCGCAACTGCTCCCTTATTTCCAGTTGCACCTCCCATTCCAGTTTTCACAGTATCAACCGCAACATCCCTTTAAAAGGAAGAATTCGAAATCAAAGAACAGAAATTTCAACAGTTCTTCGTGCGTAAGAAATAAGAAATGTCTATTACACAATTACAACACTATACATCATGGGCACTTTGTAGGGAAGCCTGTGAAATAGTGGAGAGAAACTATTAGCAATTCTTTAATCAAGAACATATTTAAACAAGAGTTACCATGTGATCCAGGGATTCCACCCACTCCTGGGGATATGGTTGGAGAAAACTATAATTTGAAAAAAACACATGCACCCTAACGTTCACTGCAGCACCATTCACAATATCAAGACATGTAAACAACTTAGATGTCCCTCACAGATGAATGAATAAAGAAGATGTGGTACATAAATACAATGGAATACTACTTAATGATACAGATGAACTTATTTACAAAACAGAAATAGACCCACAGACATAGAAAACAAACTTATGGTTACCAAAGGGAAGGCGCGAGTGAGAGGGCGTATAAAATGGATAGCCAACAAAGACCTACTATATAGCACAGAGAACCATACTTGTTTGTAATAACCTATAAGGGAAAAGAATCTGAAAAAGAATATATGTATGTGTGTTTGTGTATATATATATATACACACACACAAATGCATAACTGAATCACTTTGTTGTACACTTGAAACTAACACAATTTAAATCAACCATCACCCATCGTGTATGTTCATGCACAGTCGTGTCCGACTCTTTGAGACCCCATGGACTGTAGTCCGCCAGGCTCCTCTGTCCATGGAATTTCCCAAGCAAGAATACTGGAGTGGGGTATCATTTCCTTCTCCAGAGGATCTTCCTGACCCAGGGACTGAACCCGTCTCCTGTATCTCCTGCATTAGCAGGTGGATTCTTTACCACTGAGCCACCTGGGAAGTCCATATAAATCAACTACACAGACTTGTGGACTCTGGGAGAAGGGGAGGGTGGGATGTTTCAAGAGAACAGCATTGAAACATGTATATTATCTAGGGTGAAACAGATCACCAGCCCAGGTTGGGTGCATGAGGCAAGTGCTCAGGCCTGGTGCACTGGGAAGACCCAGAGGGATGGGGTGGAGAGGGAGGTGGGAGGGGGGACCGGGATGGGGAATACATGTAAATCCATGGCTAATTCATTTCAATGTATGACAAAAACTACTGTAATGATGTAAAGTAATTAGCCTCCAACTAATAAAAATAAATGGAAAAAAAAAAAAAGAACACTCAAAAACAAGAACCATGCGTCAGTATTTCTCTGAAGCCACAAATACGCCAGGCCTCTTGGTTACCTGGTGTTAGGAGGCAGCCTTAGGAGAGCCGTCTGTCTACTCACCTGATGAATGGAGCGTGCTGTGGTCTGATAAAAACAAACAGACAGACGCCCACCAACTGCTCAGAGGCCAGCAGTACATACTTGTTGTCTCTGGAGATGGTCTTCTGAAGTTCCACAGCCCAGAGTTTCTGATTTGTTGTGCTACCAGAAAATTAACAAGGGAATCTTCAAAAAGACGGTGACAGTAATACAGCCTATTTCTGTATGACAGTTATCAATTATACCTTTATACGCTCAAATTTAATACAATTAGTGACATCACGAAATCCACACCAACTGTGAAATCTTTATGCAGGCTGGGTGTTTCTGTCTCCTTTAAAAAAGGAAAACTTAAAACTGAGCCAAAAGAACATCACACGTCAAAAGTCTATGCTATGACTCCCTTACAAAGAAAATTGAGCTTTCTTATTAAATAAGTGCTCACTGTGTGAGCAATCCCAAGCTTGTACACTTTATTTTTTCCTTATTTATTCATTAGGATACCAGAGAAGAACATGCTTCCAGATACATTTTTCCCCTTTTTCTTATTTCTATGAATTATAATATCCCTTTAAAAACTTATTATGGAAAATTTTAAACATATACAAAAAAGATAATCATAAAATAAACCACCATATACCCAGCTTCAACAATTATCCACATTTTGCCAATCGTTCTTCTTTCATAACTCCCCACCCCTTTTTCTAATCTTGGAATATTTTATGACAAATCTGAGAAAAAATTATCCATTTCACCCAAAAACGCTTTACTAAGCATCACTAATGCAACAGGATTTTTATTTTTCTGTAATCAAAAGGCCATTATCACACTTAAACATTAACACTTCCTCAATATCATATAATACTGAGGTCATACTTACATCTCCCTGTTATCTAAAAAAAAAACAGTTTCTTAGAGCTGGTTTCTGTAAAACAAGGTCCAAACAAGGTCTACACACTGCATGTGCTGGTTGCCTCCTCAGGTCTTTCTCAGTCTTTAACTGTCTCTCGGCTTGTCCCATCCTCTTTTTTAATTTTTTTTTCATCCTCTTTTTTAATGCTCTTTATGTTTTAAGAAGCTGGATTATTTGTCTGCAAGATGTTTAATAGTCTGGATTTGCCTGATGTGTCTTCATGATACCTTGTACTTCTGTCAGCTTTGTTTTAAACTGGTAACTATAGAAGCGTGATTCAATTTTATTGATTTGTTTTGGCAAAAATAACCTCATGGTGGAATAGTCAGCCTTACATCACAGCAGGAAGCATGTAATTGCTGAGATATTACATCTAATGGGCTGTTCAGACTGTGACAATTAACTCCTTATAAAGAAGTTCCTCCACTGATCCTTCTATAAGGTTTTAACATCAACTGACGATTATTGCCTAGATCCATTATTTCAACAGGGGTTGCGTGCTAAGTTGCTTCAATCGTGTCTGACTCTTTGCTACCCCATGGACCATAATCTGCCAGGCTCCTCTGTCCATGGGATTCTCCAGGCATGAATACTGGAGTGGGTTGCCATTTCCTTCTCCATCAACAGAGGTTACAACATGTTGATTTCATAATTTCAGCATTCCATGGGCATTTGTAATGAATTGGAATTCTTCTGTAAAGAGCTTTTATCAACTATCCAGTTATTATGAAACATGTTTATACAAAGGAGGTAGGAAAAATGCTTGTCTTTCTCTTTATACATTTTCAGAGTAATCAAGTTTGTGCCCAAGACTCGTCCCACTCTTTGTGACTCCATGGACTGCAGCCCTCCAGGATCCTCTGTCCATGGGAATTCCCAGGCAAAAATACTGGAATGAGTTGCCATTCCTTTCTCCAAGGGATCTTCCCAAACCAGGGATCAAACCTGGGTCTCCTGCATTGCAGGCAGATTCTTTACCGTCTGAGCCAACAGGGAAACCCCAAGAACCTCCAACAGCAAGCACAAATAGCCATTTCACCTAAGAACATCCTGATGAAGCAGTAAACATTACTAACTTTGTCAAAGCTCAATCCTAGAAGCCCATCTTTTTAGTATTCTGTGTAATGAATGGAAAAATACAAACCAACCACTTTTGCTGCACAATGAACACATACATGATGGCTGTTTCAGAAAAAAGCACTCAAGTCTGAGGTCAGAGCTGAGGTCACTTTTTTTATAGAATACAATTTTTACTTGGAAAAACTAGTGACAGACACACTATTGTTATTCAGATTTAGATTATCTGGCAAACATGTTTTCAACCATGCCTGTGTTTTCAAGGGACATGACCTTGAAAATTTCTAATAAAAAAATTTACGTTTTGAAGAAAAAGGGGGAATTTTGATACACCTGTATTTGCTATTGTGATCTTGACAGCTTCCCAATACTTGAAGAATTTGCTGAAGAGATGAAATTAATTTGGTGATGAAATTAACCAATATGATGTTTTGATACTGTATAACGATATGTATCAAAACCTGAAAGACCTACATAATTCAATAAACTAATATGTTCCAAATGCCTAATGAATGACGTGTCAAAATCATGCAAGGCTAAAAGACAGACTGATGTTTTAGTATAACTGAGCACAAAAAGTTCATCACTATGGTTTCAGATTCCACATTGTAACTAACCGTTAAAAATGACTATTTGCTGAGTATTATCAGAGAAGAAATAATCTAAAAAGGCTATTAAAATATTTTGGTTTCCAACTACATATTTATGTGATTTTCTTCATATATTTCAATCAAAACAACACACTGCAACAGACTAATGCAGAGGTAGATGTGACAACCCAGCCATCTTAAACCAGACTAAATAGATTTGCAAACTATCAATCAACGCCATCCTTCTTAGTAAATTTTTGTTTTGGAAAATAGTTACTTTTCAGGAAAAAAAAATGTGTTACTTTTGTTAACATGTAATGACTTTATTATTGTTATTTTTAAATGAACTGAATGTTTAAAAATTTTTGTCTCTAATTTCTAATGTGATACGTATCAAGAGATAAAACCACACAAATAAAAGTTCTTTAAGATTTTCAACATTTTTAAGAGTGTAGAAAGACCTGAAACCAAAAAGTTTGAGAACTACTATTTGAACTACAGTTTAAAAAGCATCTTCACATATATCATCTTTTATCTATCCTTGTAATAAGTACTTAGTTACCTGCCCCCCATGTTCATCAACTAGAAAGTTTCCCTGTGTGTTACCTGGCTGGCTTACCTTGCATTCACAATGTTTCCAGCATTCAACTCTACCATTTCCTCAAAACCAATTGCAAATATATCCATTGGTTTACTTCTTTTATCTAAAATTAAGCATCCATGAAAGGCTTTTAAAAAATGGCAACTTCCCTACCCCAACAAAATTTTAGATAAGCAAGCCCAGGGTAGCCTGGGTGGCCCAAGCATTCAGAAATGGGACAAACAGCTAGAGAAAGAGCTTATAAATACCATGAATAAATACTGAGGAATAAAAATTTAAAAGTGTTTACTGACTGCTATTATGTGCAAGGCTTACATGTGAATCTTCTCTTTTACTACAGACACCTTATGAGACAGATTACATCTGCCTGTTATTTACAGACGGGAAACTGAAGCTCTGGAGAACCTAAGCAACTTGCCTAAGTTCACACAAAAAATGCAGTGTGGCACAACTCCAGAACCAAACTGCCTGAGTTCAAATCCTGGCTCTGTCACTGTTAACCGCATGACATTGGGCAGGTCACTTCTCTTCCTGTGTCTCAGTTTCCTCATCTGGGAAACTGAAATACTAACAGTGACTATGTAAGTCTGTTATAATGATTAAATGAATAGATGTCAAGTACTCATAATAGTAGTGTTAGTTGTTATTATTGTTATTACTATTAATACTACAGCTACGATTTCAAGTTAGGTTCAATGTAAATGAAAAGTGGCATTTTAGTAAAAGTTTAGGGAAATTTCCAGGGTTTAAGGTGTGACTGATTAAAGGCAACTAAAAAAGAAAAATCTATATCTCACAGTATTTCCTATACATATTCCCTTCATAAATAACATTTGGTAAATGTGTACCATTTTAAAAAGGAATTCAAGTTGACTTAAGCAAAGAGTCCTCAAATCTATGATTCTAGTTAAAAATTTTAATACAAACATCCTCAGCTTAATGTTTGGTACTGGCTAGTAAGAGCTTGGTGGTAGAGTACCCAAACTCAGTGATAAGTTTTTACAAGGATCAATCAGTACTGTTCTGTATAAAGGGACAATAAATGTCAAAATGAGTTTTATAAACTTACTCATGACCTACCCTATTTCTTATCTTAGCATATAAAGGACTATATTTGAAAAATGAAATACATTAGGTTTGAAAAATCCTCAGTCACAAAATAAATTTGCTATGCATCAGTTTAAAGAATAAAAACAGGAGAAAAAAAAATCACATCTTAAAAAAATAAATACACAAACCCACACACAAAAGAGTTATCTACTCATGTATGGATTACATTTTCCGAGAATCAAATAACAAAGAAAAAGATTTCTCACTTTGTCATGGGTTCCTATGAAGTAGCAGAGAAAAGTCTATGAATACAAAAGACCTAAGATTTGAAGAGTTTTGATCTCTAAGAAGAATGTTGGTCTTCAAATGTATATACAGAAGCTTCTTTTATAAAGTAATGCATATTGTGAAGTGTCGCATTTGTTTTCTAGGTTAATACATCACAGTCAGGGTTAATAAATCCATATTGTAAGAAGCCAACCTTGAAACTCCTGGATGCCAGCTAACTTGGGGGCATCAAGAAGCCAGTCCGTAAGGGTCTGATTCTTAAAAGCTATGCTGCGAAACTGCTTCCCGCCATTCACGTTCCAGGTGCCCACACATACTCGAATTTTCTTGGGCTTTGAATACTTGTAGAAATTCTCGCACATGCTCTTTAGGACTTTAGAAGATGCTGATCAAAAACAAAATACAACAAAATTTTGGCTGCATGAAAACACTTACAAAAATTGATCTTCATAACTGAGAAATGATGGCTGGAAAGTACAATTACCATCATCGGCACAAACAAGCATCAAATACATGCACAGGCACAAGAGAGATAAGCCTTGAACACAGAGCCCAACACAATGCAAGTAACCAACACACTTTTAAAATATCAACTACGTGAAGTACAACAGCCCAATTAAAAAAAAAAAAACTATTACAAAGTTAATGCAGCAACATAAAACATGCAAAACAGTTCTGTTTCAGTGAAATAGTGTATCATTTTATGATACACAAAATCAGAGATTGCAAATTTTAAGGAATAAATATAGCAACTGACTTCCAGACAACTTTCATTCAAAAGCTAGTAAAAATAAGTTATCTCTCCCCAAACAAAGATGCTCAAGAACCATAACATATAGGACTCTAGCTACTGACAGGGAGCTTGAGGAAAAACAGCTCCCTGACAAACACAAATCACGGACAATAATGAGATGTTGGAGAATGAAGGCATTACTAAAAGCCTCCCAGCTCTCAGGCGACACCAAGTCTTCACCAATGTTCTACAAGACCCCAGACAAACTGCCCTGCCTTTCCACCCTCAGCTGCCATCCCAGCTCTGCTCGCTCACTGCTCTGGCCCTGGACCCCTCTGCACTGGCTGCTTCCACTGCTGGCAACATTCTTCCCTCACTGCCTGCAGGCATCAACTCTGCAGTGAGGCTTTTCCTGATCAGCTTATTAAAATGTGCATTCTGTCTCTTACAGTCCATATCAGCTCCCTGCTTTACTTTTCTCTATGGTGTTTATTACCAAGTACAAACTATGCATTTTATTTATTTATCCTGTTAAGTGTCACCCCTCACCGAAGATGGAAGCTCCATGAGGGCAGAAATGTTGGTCAATCCCATTTTTATTTTTTTTGTGGGGGGGAATCAGAATGAATGGAGGTTCCCTGGTAGCTCAGATGGTAAAAGAATCTACCTGCAATGCAGGAGACCCAGATGCAATTCCAAGGTCATGAAAATCCCCTGGAGTAGGAAATGGCAACACATTCTAGTATTCTTGCCTGGAGAATTCCATGGACAGAGGAGCCTGGCGGGTTACAGTCCATGGGGTCGCAGAGTAGAACATGACTGAGTGACTAACACTCACAGAATGAACATTCTTTCATTTTATTTATTTATTGGGGTGTGTGAGTGTATGTGCTCGGTCATGTCTGACTCTTTGCAACTATAGCCCACCAGGCTCCTCTGCCCATGGAATTTTCCAAGCAAGAATACTGGAGCGCATTGCCACTTCCTCCTCCAGGGGATCTTCCCCACCTAGGGATAGAACCCTCGTCTCTTGTGCCCCCCGCATAGGCAGGCGGATTCTTTACTGCTGCACCACATGGGAAGCCCCAGTAGTCGCTTTATAATGTTGTGTCAGTTTCTGCTCTACAGGGAAGGGAACTGCTTATATGTATACATACATCCCCTCTTTTTTGGATTTCCTTCCCATTTGAGTCACCACAGATCATTAAGCCGAGTTCCCTGTGCTATATAGCAGTTTTGGTCTATTTTATTTGCTCCAATATCTCCAGACTAGAAGAGCGCCTGGTACATACTGCTGCTGCTACTAAGTCACTTCAGTCGTGTCCAACTCTGTGCAACCCCATAGACGGCAGCCCACCAGGCTCCGGCATCCCTGGGATTCTCCAGGCAAGAGTACTGGAGTGGGTTGCCATTTCCTTCTCCAGGTACATACTGAGTGTTCAGTAAATAATGGTTAAAGGAATACACGTGAAATACACTTTGAATCCTCAATCTCTCTTCTCCACCTACCTTTTGGCTTCCACCTAACTTTCTGCCTTCTAAACTACATTTCATTTAGATTGAGTCAAATCCTGGCACTTAAAGTGAATAGAAACTTCCTAGGACTTCAATCTATTAATAATGATAGAGAATATGCCCTTAAAAGGGTGGTTAACTGCCAAGAGGAGACGGAAATCAAAATGATCTTCATCTTTCACCAGGTGATCTTATTTTATTATGATATTAATTATTATTTTTGGAATGGATACCAAGGTACAGCAAGGAGGCTTGTGAAAGAAAGAGTGAAAAAGGTAAATAACATTTTTGGATTAGAATGAAAGTAGTCTGACCTGTGAATCCCGCTAGGAACTGCAGACTCAGGTGACAAGCACATCCTCACTGTCCCTAGGGGCACATGTACACATTTCTAACCCTGCTATTTGATTACTTGCACAGAGGTGTCTGGTGGGAATGAAGGCAGATTGTTTTTCTGGCCTGTTGATATGGCTAACTGAAAGTTGGCTGAACCTGGATAAAGAATCCTTCTCTATTACTACAGATCAACACTGCTCTTTCTAATGAAGTCACTGCCATTGTTACTACTATGAAAACAGCCTCTACTTTCCTTTCTACATGAAAACACAAGCTCTATAATTATTTAACAGCTTAAAATATGCAGCAAGACAGACAATGAACTGTGTGAAGAAAAATATGTCGCCACATTGAGTAAGCTACTAAAGTCAGTTTATCAATGGGGTAAAAAGTTTTAAAATTCCTAGTTTATTCTTTTCTTAAAAAACTGGCTGGCACCTTAATGTGCAGAAAGAAATGTGTCTCTGTTCAAACAGATGCTCATCCCTAAATATTGTATCATTTCAGAAAATGGATTTCATGATATTAAATCAAAAATAAATACAAGTGCTCTCTTCCTCCATCTTCTCAAAAAACTCACCCACAGTGTCTTAAAACACTCACAAAAATAATTAAGTGAAACAAATCTTAAGTGATACCAAATCTTAAGTGAAGGGAAGAAAAGATACCTTTTCAGCAAATTTCTGGCAAAAGTTCCTTTCACCACAGATTCAAGTTTAAAGACAAGATCATAAACCTTGTCCAGAGAATAAAGGTATGCGAGTTTTAAGAATCGGAATGACAAGAAAAATAATACCTTTAGGTCTTACACACTTGGCTCTTCTAACTTTGCTAGCAATCTTAATGCTTTTTAAAAGATTTCAGATCATATTTTAGTGCAGGTCTTCCAGTTTCAGAAAATATTTCACATACCATATGAGAAAACGAGTCAATCTCTTGTTTAAAACGGTGTGTGAGATAAGCACTACTGAGTAGTTGTAAATATCACAAGCAGTACTTTGACATTAATCTGTAAGAGTCACATCTAGGTTTTTTCCAGGACTTCCCTGGTGGCTCAGTGGTAAAGAATCCTCCTGACAATGCAGAGATGCAGGTTCAACCCCTGAGCTGAGAAATCCCCTGGAGGAGGAAATGGCAACACACTCCAATATTCTTGCCTGAGAAATTCCATGGACAGAAGAACGTGGTGGGCTATGGTCCATGGGGTCGTAAAGGAGTCAGACATGACTTAGCGACTAAACAACAATAAAGGGTAAAATATAATACTAATAATGTTTGTTCACTGAAATGTGAAAGTAAAACTAAAACTAGATGACCCATATTTAACTGAAATTAAGCACTTACTACAAGAAGACAAAGAGCTTGGCATAGCTCCTTCTAAATGAAGTACTCTGTTTTCTCAAACTTAAAATTTTTTTCTCAGATTAAAACAAAGCATCAATTCATCCTGTCAGAATCAGAGGGCAAAATAAAGTTTCCATTTATTTGTGGCTCTATTTATATACAACATCCACTTTTTAAAAAAAACTGAAATAAAGTTGCATTTATTGACAGGTTGATTTTCTATACTGTACCTGACTGTAATGTCTGTTCAGAAACTATGGATGCATCAAGAAGAAAACAAAGAATCATTAGTAACATAGTAAGTTACAGTTGAAGTCTAGAGTATTATGACAAAACCTCAAACAGCTTCATTTTTTTCTTTTGATTTAATTTGACGACAATTTTTTTTCTGATGGCTGAAGGATACCAAAGATAAAATAAATAACAATAACTGATGCAAACCCACTGTGTCTAAGAAAAATCATACAGGGACATAGTGATGTGCAGAGTTTCACAATCAGAAGGTTCTAGGCCTGCTTTCCAGGCTGGTCCCATATGTATGTCTGTTGAGTGTGCAAGTGCACATACTTCTGAGGGAGAATATGAACCCGAAAACCTAAGAGGCTGGAAGACACTGGAATATTGCAGATACTGCCCTAACGCACACCTTGGAGTATTCTTTCTGGGACTCACCAGCTGACAGGTACAATCAGTTCAGTTATTAAAAAAAACACATACATTCCAACAGAATCACCATGTTATGCAAGATGGTGCAAATTCCTAAAGGCACAGGGTTTATGGCAAAAATATTTGGGTTTGGGCACAACATTCAAACACTTCAGCAATGATGTGCCAAGATAGGAACCTGCTATAAAAACAGTAGCAGAACCCGATACATGTTAAACAGTTAAGGAATGGACAAATACATCTAACATATGGTACTTTATGTTGAAAAAGACTTGAGGTTTGCTTAGAAAAATGGGCAGGAAGAGGCCTGTGCTTGTGAGCAATTGTGAATGCTGGAAGAAGGGTTCTCCGAAACTGGAAAGTTGTGACATCAGATATGGGAGGATCTGGCTCATCACACAGCTGGTGAACGGAGGGAGGGAGAGGTCTATGCACATGTATATGTGTGTTTTGTATATTTCTATCCACCTCAGTTCCGCTGAGTGCAGCTTTCTGCATTTCCCTAGCACTACTACTACCAGTGAAATCAAACATAAACTACTACAGAATTGGCATTATTCTCACAATTTTTCCTGACATAGCATCCCTGTTGGAATAAATTCCCATTCTGAGAATAAGAGCTATAGCAGAACTGATTGTACTGTTTTCTAAGGGTATGTTTTTCACATAGTAAAATGTGCAGGAAACTAAAAAACTAATGATCAAGTCTGGGAGTTATTCAGCTCCCTCACTTCTCTTTCCTTTAATAGCTTACTTTCAGTGGTTGCTGATTAATGCCTCCATATCAGAGCAGGCACGGGTGGAAAGAGGTGATAAGACGCAAATGAGTCAGTGTCTACTGCTGGAAGCCAGGAAGAAAGCCTGAAGTCAAAAGCAGTAGCTATGATCAGATTCTGGTTTTCAGAGCTTTAGTAGATTTCAGTCCCCCAGCCTATTCACAGATCCCTGAGGAGCTAACTGTAATTAACTACCTTCAGCGCCATGCGGAATTCTGAAAGAAATCCATGGTAACAAGTGATAACCCATGAGGAGGTTATTTGAGGAACAATTTCTCCTAGTTGAACAGGGAAAACTGAAAGGGTTCTTTTAGGGGATAACAGAAGAAGTAAAAAAAATGTTCCAAGTGCTGGAAAGCTAAAATAGGGGGAAAAAAAAGAAATTAAGGGAGTCTAATTTAATAAGTTAATACAATGTATATTGAGTTTTCTCATGATCCTGCTTAATATGCTCACTGACATGAGCTCAAATTCTTTTGGTTTTAAAGAAACACAGTGAAAAATCAACAGCTATTCTGAAAGCCTGACATATATTTTATGTCAAATATTAAAACTGGCAGGGTCCAATAATAAGCAACATTTTAAAATTATTAATATGATTTGAAGCTTACTCAAACAGCAGCAATTAAAAAGTAAGACCAAGTTATAGAAACGTCTGGGGCGGTGATTAGAGTTGAATATTTTATGAAATCTTGCCTTAAATAAAGTTAGCAATATTTAAATCATTTCCCCCCTCAATCATAATCTATAAAAGAAAACATGCATGGGCTTCAGTTTACAGCTTAATAGTTCTGCTAATGCTATAAATATTTTAGGAGAATCAAACTTCCTTTGGAGAATGGAATTTTAGAAATTTACATTGATAGAAATTCCTTCAAAAAACTATCTTTATCAACTCAAACTAGAAAGCACATATGTAAGTAAGTTTATATTCACCTCTTGGACTTTTAGAAGGAATATAGACAACATAAAGTAAAATATAAAGTAAGTACGCCTACCACGCAAACTTCCAGTAGTTAAAAGGGCTCGAGCTTTGTCAGCTAAATCACTATTTAGAGTATTTCCCAGGAGCAAAACATCAATTGCTTCTTGCTTGGAGCTGTCAAAGAAGTTATTCTGAATTGTTCTACTAACTGAACGAGCACCATCTTTTAACTTTCCAGCCTGTTGGGGAAAAAAGCATGGACTTTCATTCTAAATTGTTTTCACTCAGTAGGTATTCTGAAACTTTAGATAAGTTGTATATGACTTCACTGTAGTAAGAAGGACCTTATCATTCCATTCTGAATATCAAACCATCATATTAAAATGGCACATTAAGATGTCACTGTTTCCTTTCCTCTTTTGGATAACAGCACTGCAGAGAGACAGAAGAGGCTCAGTGCCACAACTGCATCCACTGATGACATCTAGAGCAGTAAACGTGTATAACTGTTTACTGGAAAGGAAACAGACTGAAATGTTCTTATTCAAGACAAGGAAATCACTTCTTCCATTATAACTGTTAGGCTGGGGGATGGATGGGATGGGTGGGGAAAAGCAGAGGAGATAAAGAAGGATACACTGCATTTCCATGTTCTCAGAAAAACTTCAAAGTACACTAACAGTAGAAAAATAAAACTGAAATTGCTCCCAAGTAACTTATATTAGTTAAAAACAACTGAATATGAGAATGAAGGTGTAGCCTATAACACAGAAACTACAATTGTTTATTTTAGCTCATTTTGCCTATGCATATATGAAAATATAAAATGTATGCCAATTCCTACAGTGAGAGAGCTGATTGTAACTTCTAATGAACGTATATTTCACTCAGGTGTGTTAGTTACCATAAAGATATTTTAACCTTACATATTTTGATGACTTAAAAAAAAGTTAAAAACTGTCAAAAAAAACTTTAGTTTGCAATATGTAATTTTTATTCCTCAAAGAAATAACAAGAATTTGAGGCTTAAAAATGTTATTTCCTTCCATAAAATGAATGTAAATGACATTATTTAAAAAAAGAGACTCACCATTCACATTATCAGGCAATTAATCAAAAGGAACCCAGAGAAAGGAAAAGAAAGAGCAGTTCAGATGTTAGATTTCAGGTCAATTCAGACTAGTATATTTAATACATAAAATTTCATATCTAGTTTGTTAGAAAAGATCACTGAAAATATAACCTCTGTACATAGATAGTCAACTGCAGAAACAAAGAGGCAGAACATAAAAGAAAACTTTAAGCAATCGTTGCAGAGAATCAGGTTTAAAAGCAAGAATTATGTTGTTTATTTAAAAAAGAATACATGAAAGTTTAACAACATCAGGTTTTTTAAAATAGGGCCCATTTAAGAAGTAAATGTAAATGTCAATACAAATTATTTCTGAGTTGAACAAAAGGAACTTTGCAGCTAAGGCCAATTCTTCTGAACAGAGGCGTGGCATTTTATGAGACACAAAAGAAGAGGAAGAGGTGGAAAACAGAAGATTTTGAGATGATGAAATTCAGCTGCTATACTGAAGAGACTAAATATGAAACTATACAAGTGGTAAATGCCTCTGTTTCTATTCCTGGGGTAATTTGAGAAACTGTAAGGTTGTAGTACATTTATAAATTCAGCTGAATCCAGAAGCCATAAAAGGTCAATATTTAAGGATATAATGAAAAATATTTCAAGTATGTACCCAAAGTCCCTCAGTAAGGGACAAACACTAAAGCAGAAGCAATCTGTAGGTAATACCAGCAAATAAAAAATAATGATGACATACAGATACACAATTACATCCACACCTCACACTTGCAAAGGCACATTTTGACAGGCTCCTTGTCAAGGAATATAAGAAAAAGAATAAAAACTTCAGCCCTAGTAGCACTGGGTTCATAGGTGGTGTTGCAAAAACTGCCCATTGATTTATTTGTCCATCCAGCTCTTGTCACACATCTATCCAACTGTATGTACTGTGGCAAGTACTGGGGACACAAAGGCAAATAAGGTAAGACCCTTTATAATCTAGATCTACCTTAGCCTTTCCTTCAAGGGCTCCAGTTCCTGCATAAATCTTACTTATTGAATCACCATTCACAGACCACATTGATCGAAAAACTTCTTGAAAGCGAGTCACCAACTGAGGCTTTTCAGCTAAACCAAGAGCTTCCAACTGTTTAGTCAGCATCTAAAATAGCAGAAAAGAAACTTTTATGAGTATATAAATACATTCTTTAAGATGTGACCTTTTAAGAACTACCAGAATCAAACCAAAAATTTATAGTTACAGGATGTTGTGGGTCTGGATTCTGAAAATTCAAGTTTACTAGGCTTTGTTATTTCCCCCATGCCAATTTCTAAAGTAACTATCACATCAATGAAACCTACGGGTAACTCAGTACTCAATCCTTGTAACGAGAACTTTTCTGGTTAAATGATATTAAGCTTTTAAAAATGTCCCAAACCTTTAGGGAATTCCCTGGCAGTCCAGTGGTAAGGATTCCCTGCTTTCACTGCCAAGGGCCTGAGTTTAATTCCTGGTTGGGGAACTAATATCCCACAAGCCGTGGGGCCAAAAGAAGAAAAAAAAATGTTCCTATAAATCAGACTAGTTTATCCTGTTCACCTAAAAGAATAATTATGCAACAGCACCCAATGGAGCAGAGAAATATTTTTAGTTTATTTAAAAATATATAGAAATAATTATGTTTCTTTAATTTTTGCATTTGGTTCTATATGTTTGGGTAATTAAGGTCAGGAGACTATGAGAAAAGCAGAGCTGCTCTTGAATTGATATCAAAATTTTTAAATAAGTCATATCTCTGAATAAAGTCATGACAGCTCTGAATGTACCAAATTTGCATCAGTAAAGTATATAAGGGAGAAGTAGGGGGAACACAGTATTCGAAGAATACAAGGATCTTGGAGCTACACATCCTACCGAGATGTGTGTTCCCTCATCACACATGTGATATATGTGTATATGTGTTTAGAAATCTTTACTCTGAATGACTCTTAGCCTTAAAGTCTGGCAAAGTCAAAGCAATGCATAATCCTTATCCAGTCTATTTCTCTTATTTGGAATCCAGTCATAGTCTATGCCCCTGTAGTTTTATTCCCACTTGTGTTTCCTTTTATCTTATCTATAAGATCAAAGATATTATGGAGATTATCCATAATTACACAGGGATCAAAAACTAAAATAATATTAAAAACTCTATACTGGGTCTAACCCAATTGCCTAGACTTATACCAGGGCTGTTCCTTTACTGGCATGTAGAATAAAACAAACAAGCCTCCAGGTTCTCCTTTATCATCTCCTCTTTCTTCAAAGAACTGGGCAAAACTGCTCTTCACTACAAGCAGTTTGCTTTTACTTACACTTGCAGTATATTTTGTAACCAGTCAAGCTACTAGGGAGTAAGTACTCTCATACCTAATATTAATAACAAACAGTGGGTAGTCCACTAAGTCAGATTCTGAAAACTAACACTTGTTCTGCTTTCAGTGAAGATGTTCAAGTGTTTCACAAGCTTACTCTAACTAAATGTCTTTAGCTACTTAAGAAGTGGCTAAAGACACAAACCCAAGACATCTCATAAAACTCAATCCCAATAATCAAATGCCTGCTCTCACTTTTCTTCTGTCATATTTTCTAATTTATAATGATAATCCTCAACAACAGATTTCAAAAAAGGCAAAACAGTAAAATTTAGTTAGATGAAAAATACATTTTTCTAATAGGAAATTCTATAGATGGTACTCTCCTTTTGAGACTGAATGAATCTAAGCTGCAGAGTAACTAATTAACCACTATTCTAGCCAAATTTAAGATCATTTGCTAGAGGAAATAAGCACCTTTTACTTTCTGTTCCTGTTTTTCCAGCACTGGAGAACCGCGCTAGCTCCCACGGAACTAAATGAAGACCCGCCGCAGTCTCCTGAGCCCGACAGCCGCGCAAGAGGCGAGGCTGCGGAACCTGAGCACTGCTGCTCAGTGTGCCACACAGTTGAGATTACGCCTAAATTAGACTGAACTTGACAGGTAAGTACTAAAGAAAAAATTTTAAACAAGCTGTGTGTTAGAGAAGCTGGCTCTCATTCACTTTTATTTTAACAATGACATTTTTCATCTGATCCTGGTTTTGGTAGCAATTTTTAAAAAAATGCTATGTAAACTGTACTGGTTTAGATTGTTAAAAATATAATTCTATAGGGTTGTACATGTGAAAATAGATCCTCCTTAATTCCAAAAGGACTTTTAAAAAGACAATACCAAGGGTTTCCCTGGTGGCTCAGTGCTAGAGAATCCACCTGCCAACGCGGGAAGCACGGGTTCAATCCCTGGTCTGGGGGGAGCCCACCTGCTGCGAGGCAACCAAGCTGGTGGGCCACAACTACTGAGCCTATGCTCTAGAGCCCGGGAGCCGTGACTGCTGATGCCCGAGCACGCTGGAACCCGGGTTCCACAACAAGAGGCCACTGCCATGAGAAGACCAGCCCCGCAACAGGAGAGCGGCCCTGCTTGCCACAGCTAGAAAACAAGCCCATGCAGCACTGAAACATAGCACAGCCAAAAACAGACAAACAAAATTATTTTTTAAAAAATGACAACACTGAGAATACAAAATATATACATATATTTTGCTTATCCAAAAGACAGGCAGGTGAGACAATTACTAAAACAGTATAAATAGCAGGCTCTAAGCTATCTAAAGAAAGCATTTAGAACAGATAAAGGAAACATTTAAATGAAAAGGGACACTACTTGAAAGAAAAACCTGGAAGTGAAGTAAAACTTTATTTGTGAAAATGAAGCATAGCTTCATTTTGTGAAAAATAATTAATGACAAAAATAAATATCACAAAAGCACTGAAAAAGGAATTTGATGTTAAGTTCCATACACATATTTTATTATTTTTTACCTCTAATCCAAGGAATGCCTGCACACTATTTGTTCTGTCAAGACAATCCAAGCAGTTTGTTCGAACTGTACCACTCTGGCACCTGAAACAAATTCAGTCAAACTAAATGGGCAGTTCAAACCAAAAATAACAAAAGCTAAAACAAACTGAGAAAAATTAAGCTGATTAAAATGTAGCATCTACTTTCTCCCCACTTCAATTCTCCTGTATAATTCTCAAATGCAAAAAAAGATGAAAGAATTTTACAGTGATCATCCATATACCCACCATCCAGATTCTACAAGCACTAGCATTTTGCCATCTGCTCTTTATTACATATTTCTCCATTCAACCACATCCACTTATTTTTAACGAGGCCAGTAGTCAGGAGCTAAACATACATTTGGATTTATAACCATGCAGTTCTACAGTAGAACAGACAATAACCAATGTCTTTTATTTGCATTAAATAATCTTTACTGAGGCTAAGAAATATTATGACATTAATTTTACGAGAAAGCAGCATGAGATTTGGAGCCAGATGAATTCGAGCGCTAACACTTTCTACTTACGTGACGTGGGAAGACGATAGCTTTCAGCCCCCCACCTCCTGCAGTGTGAATGGCTAAGGACAGAACCAACCCTACAGCTGTTACTAATCACTGTGAAGACTACATGCACTGCCTGACCCACACAACAGCACGTGCCCAGTGAGGTTAGCTACCGTGAGAAAGGGAGAACAGCGAGCTTAGAATCAAGTATGATAAAGACATCAGATGACATTACACAAAAGTTCCGATTTAAAGAAAGGAAAAACAGAGAAGTCAAACCTTTGAACTTCACTTCCATCAAAATGAAAAATTCCATAATCCAGAAACTTTTGGACTTGAGGTTTAAGAACACTATGTAATTTTTCTGCCTTTCCTCCTTTAACCATTTGATGATAGTCAAAATTCACCATCTGGATATCAGCAGCATGTTCAGAAGCTTTCAGATGACTCTGAAAATAAAAAGAAAATATTCATTTAATTCTTCTTCGGTTTTTTTTTGGCTGCAAATTGTAGATCCGGCAGGCAGGATCCCCTATCCTCAATCAGGGATCAAACCCATGACCCTTGCAGTGAAACTGCAGATTCTTAACCACTCACTGGACCGCCAAGGGAAGTGAAAGTGTTAGTCACTTAGTAGTTTCTGACTCTCTGCAGCCCCATGGACTGTAGCCCACCAGACTTCCCTGTCTATGGAATTCTCCAGGCAAGAATACTGAAGTGGGTAGCCATTCCCTTCTCCAGGGGAACTTTCTGAACCAGGGATAGAACCAGGTCTCCTGCACTGCAGGCGAACTCTTTACCGTCTGAGGCACCATTAAAATATCCATTTAAACGTTAACCAAATATGATTGTATCAACACAATGTTATAAACGGAACGTTTATTTTAAATGAAAATCTAAGCAGGTCCTTGAAATCTTACTAATTCCACAAAGCTTTCTTTCATTGCCACTGGCAGTAAAATAAAAATTACTTGCTAATATCTTACAGCATCCTTTTCCTGAAACCTCCTATACTATTTCAGAGAGATTAGTTAGGTCTTACATAATTAATATCAGGGAACTTAACATTCTCATTTGGTTTAGAAAATGAAAAATTATTTCCAACAACCAGCACTTCATTTTTTACCATAAAAATATAATGACTGTTTATATCTATTACAGAATCTCAAAACAAAGTAATTGATTTCTAAGGAAAAGCTCATCAAAATTTGAAGAATTCATTTTTATACCTTTATTCAATATATACAAATGTTTTAAAAGCTTACAATAAAAAGTCACTCTCTAAAGTATAACTTGTTTATTAATGATATTCAAACAAAATAGTCAAATAATTAATCCTGGACTTCATTAGCTTAAACATGAGAAAATGTTTTCTAGCCATTTGGTTTAAGGTTATAATCTTATGTAACACTATATCAATCCATTATTGATCCAATAAACATTTATGAAAAGTGTTTTCTTTACAAGTTAGACATTTCTTTAGGTTCTTACTTACGTGAAATTCTCTAATTTTCTTTCATTGGTATGAGAAGTCCTGTGTGTATACAAATGCTTTATTCACAATTTCATAGATTTAAAACAGTGACTATGGTTTATAGGAACTAGGCAAGGCAAGGAACAGATGAAGTGGGAAACTGCCTGGTATCTATCTGCCAGTGACTGATGAACATTTTTAGGAGGAGAGTATTCTTCTGCTTCTCCACTACATAAATAAGCAGATTAGAAAACAGGGTCAATGCCTTGAAAGCTTTCTATAATCCCAATTTCAGCAATTGTTGCCTAACTACCTTCAAAGAACTAATGGTTCCAACAAGTACTCCATCTTCTTCCAGGAAGAACTTACTCCTGGAAGAATTTGACTATTATTTCTAAAACACCATTCTAGGTGTCCATGGGCCAGAACAGAAGAAAAAAATAATCACTTACCTGGAAAGCCTTACTTAGCATATGTTCACCTTCCTTAGATCCAAGCAGATTTACTATTATTTGTTTACCATACAAATTCTTAAGTGTCCTAAAATGCCTGTTAAAGGTAGAAAGGAAGTAAGCATGTCAAGTGATAAGTCAAAAACTTTTTTCAATAAACAGGAACCCACAGGACCTACATGGCAGTACTTTAAACACATAGGATTGGCAAAACTATATACAAATCCATTTCACATGGAATCAAAACTCTGAATTTGTGAAAAGTCAGTTAATGCAATTTTCTCTCGATTTATCAACTTATCATCTATTTGCCATCACTTCATGGCAAATAGATGGGAAAACAATGGAAACAGTGACAGACTTTATTTTTTGGGGCTCCAAAATCACTGCAGAGGTGACTGCAGCCATGAAATTAAAAGGTGCTTACTCCTCAGAAGAAAAGTTATGACCAACCTAGACAGTATATTAAAAAGCAGAGACATTACTTTGCCAACAAGGGTTCGTCTAGTCAAAGCTTTGGTTTTTCCAGTAGTCATGTATGGATGTGAGAGTTGGACTATAAAGAAAGCTGAGCGCCAAAGAATTGATGCTTTTGAACTGTGGTGTTGGAGAAGACTCTTGAGAGTCCCTTGGACTGCAAGGAGATCCAACCAGGTCATCCTAAAGGAGATCAGTCCTGGGTGTTCATTGGAAGGACTGATGCTGAAGCTGAAACTCCAATACTTTGGCCACCTCATGCGAAGAGTTGACTCATTGGAAAAGACCCTGATGCTGGGAGGGATTGAAGGCAGGAGGAGAAGGGGACAACAGAGGATGAGCTGGTTGAATGGCATCACCGATTCGATGGACATGAGTTTGAGTAAGCTCTGGGAGCTTGTGATGGACAGGGAGGCCTGGCATGCTGCAGTCCATGCAGTCGCAAACAGTCGGACACAACTGAGCAACTGAACTGCACGGAACTGATGCTAGAGCTTTCAGAGTCATCTGGCCCCCTCTCCACCCTGAGGCTAATGCTGGGTGGACATGGAAACCAGGAGCCATGCAGCTGGGTTGGCAAGGCAGTAAGGGCAGAGGGCACTGGGCTGCACCTCACATGTGAGGACACTGCCTACTCCATACGGATTCAGAGCTCCTGAACAGCTCCAGCCTTAAGATAAATAGGCCCCACACAGGATCCTTTAGTCTCTCCAGCTTCTAATCAGTCCAGAGTCTAGAGAGCAAAGTCATCCACAGGAAATATAACATAAGTCACAGACGTAATTTAAAATCTTCCAGAAGGCAAATTAAAAAGGTAAAAATCAAAAGGTAAAAGTCAAAAGGTCAAATTAATTTACATATATTTTATTTAATCCAATACAACTAAAATATCATTTCTTCATGTACTTGATATATAAAACAAATATTGGGCATTTTGCATTTTTTTTGCACTACGTCTGAAATCCAGTACATATAATATACCTACAACATATCTCAATCTGGACTGCTGCTACTGCTAAGTCACTTAAGTCATGTCCGACTCTGTGCGACCCCATCCCTGGGATTCTCCAGGCAAGAACACTGGAGTGGGTTGCCGCTTCCTTCTCCAATGCATAAAAGTGAAAAGTGAAAGTGAAGTCGCTCAGTCATGTCTGACTCTTCGAGACCTCATGGACTGCAGCCTACCAGGCTCCTCCGTCCATGGAATTTTCCAGGCAAGAGTACCGGAGTGGGGTGCCATTGCCTTCTCCGTCAATCTGGACTAGTCAGTTTCAAATGCCCAAGAGCTAGCTACACATGGCTAATAGCCACCATATTGGATAACACACCCATCAGAAGTAGTTTTAAGGCCAAGATGTCAAGACCCATACACTTACTGCCACCACTCCTAGAATTCATGAGTGTCACTATCTTCCACTTAAATCAGAGTCAAGAAGAAATTTTACTTAAGAGCCCAAAAGCTGAAATGAAGCAGTAAATGCAACTAATCTCACTACTTAGCAACATCAAAACTCACAGCAATATATAAAAGTCATCAGTCTTACCTGTCAAAAGCGGGTGCATTGGCTTCAAATCCCCTTGACATACGAACACGATGGGATCCCACCTAAGACAAGAAAAATATGCTTAATCATACCAAAAGCCAACATGCAGACAAAAGAAATAGCGCTGTTTATGTAATAATTCATTTGTTAAGCACACAGTAGTAAGCTGAGTAATTGTCATTTGTGACATAAGTTCTAGGGGTTTCTCCTTTTTATCTTTTAAAACACAACCTCATTAAAAATAACAACAACAACAAAAACTAGAGCATTATGCAACACTGGTAAACTAACAGGAATTTTTATTTACGTAAGATATTTTTAAGAGTGCTTTCATATACATTACCTTGTCTTAAGTTCTAAATATGTGCCCTTTGTAAGTGAACAGATACTGTCATTTGTGCAACAAAAGAACAAACCCAGGCAAGTGAAGAAACCTGTCCTCTTAGAGCAACATCATTCATTCCAAAAAAAGATTCCCATGACAATACAGGCCTCCTGACCAAAACATCTACACTTTCAGACTGCCTACAAGTGCAATGTCTACATATTTTCTTTCTCTGTTATGCTGAATACCCTATTCACTCCTCTCTCACCCAAAGATCCCATAGATTAAAAATATCCATTCCTGGAAAAAGACTTTCCAAGTCAATCTCTCAGGCACACAACTAAAACAACAGCATATTTTGAAATTTGGGTTATAAGAATTAAACAAGATGGAAAATAACTACCTAAAGTGTGTTGCTACCATTTTTCTTTTTCTCATATAGGAAAAGTGGGAGAGAGAGATGAGGCAGAATCAAGAGATGTAAAAGATGCCAAGAAGAAATACAACAGTGAGACCAGATTATTTCCCTGAGTTTCACCTGTAAATATTTCCCTGAGACTGTGCACCCAAGGTTCCCCAGAATTCATCCTGGCTAATCTGTGAATAACGTGACTTTAAAGGTAGCACGGAGGAGAAGTGCCAAATCAGTAATGCAGTTGGACAAATAAAACCAGAAAATAAGCTCTAAATGCTCACCCATGTCCCAAACTGAATTAACAGTATTATCATTCATTCAGCATTCCCTCTCCTGTTGAGATGACTGAATGACTGTCCTGAGAAATCAGTGGAATCTCTTTAGAGCTTCTCCTTCTTAGTAAGAAACTGATTAGCCAAATGTCATATCTCTATTTCATTTCATTTCTAGTACACAATAGACTGTATAAAATCTGAAGCTTTGAAAGATGTGTGCTCCAGGACACATTTGTGTGTTTTAGGTGGCAGAACAGTCAGATGAAGTTCATACTTTTTCTTTGGAGTCATCTCAGGTAGTTGCCCTCTAACTCTCTAAAAGTCCAAGACTTCGCATTTTGTTTATTCATTAACATTCATCTTGCACAATATTCTTTACTGTCAAGAAGGTGAAAAAAAATACAAGCTTTCTCATATTTTTTTTGGTAATGGCTGTGGTTGTTCCCTATTACCTGCTCCCCAACACATACACAAAACTAGCTACAATTCATAATTCTTACAGCAATATGTTGGTTAGACGAGACTAGGTTTTGCTACTTAATGTTAAAGAAAAACTCCTGTAAGAGTTACGTAAATGTAATAAAATTTTCCATTTACTCAATTTTTTTAAAAAGTTGCATGAAAGATATTTTTAGAAACCATGTCATGGGTGGTAAAAGTGAAAGTGTTAGTCACTCAGTCATATCCAAGTCTTTGCGACCCCAAGGACTGCAGCCCACCAGGCTCCTCTGCCCACAGAATTCGCCAGGCAAGAATACTAGAGTGGTACGGAACATTATCTTCTAGCAGTATTACTGCTTTGTATTTTTGTAACTTGAATTCAACCAAAAGTTCAGTGTGCCATACCATGCAGGGCATAAATCTCATGATGCTTACCATCTTTTAAGACTAATATAAGCAATATCAATAATATAGTATCAAAGGAACACTTCACATTATAAATGTTAAATAACTTCAAAGAAAGGGAATCATAAATAAAATTAATGAGTTGTCAATAATTAAAATGTCACTCTTATCTGTGTAGCACCTTATGACAACTCTTATTATGCCTCAAGCTAATTGATTTTGATATTTGCCTTTTCCATAAAAGGACTGTCTCCCCAAACAGACTGCAAGCTCTCTCTGAGGCATCACTATAGAAACTGAATTTCTCATAGGATACAAGATTATCTACGCGAATGTGTACAGAATGATACACATGAGATGAACTCAAGGATTTCATGAAGAGATCAGTGTGGAGGAGTGACTAGAATCCACTCCATGAAATCTGAGTCGGTTACTGAGGAACAGCAAACCTTCATTCTGGAAGCAGAGGATTCCTATTAGAAAATAGCCAGGCATGAAGTCTGACAGGCAGAGGAAGTCAAAACATGAAGAAATGGGTACCTAGATCTGATAAGCATAACAGAGCAAAAGTGGAAAAGGGCTTCCCTGGTGGCTCAGATGGTATAGAATCTGCCTGCAATGCAGGAGACCTGGGTTCAGTCTCTGGGTCCGGAAGATTCCCCTGGAAAAGGGCATGGCAACCCACTCCAGTATTCTTGACTGGGGAATCCCATGGACAGCGGAGCCTGGTGGGCTACAGTCCATGCGGTCGCAAAGAGTCAGATGATGGTCGCGAACAGTCAGATGATGTCTGAGCAACTAACACTTTCACTTCATTTTTCATTAAGAACTGCCAGAAAGCTGGGAGGAGACCAGTCAGAAATCTGTAAGAATCCTTCAGGCAAGAAAAAAACTATGAAGACCTCAACCAAGATGACAAAAGTGGGAATGAAAAGAAAAGCCCAAGGCCTCAGACAGCACTGGTATCACGCATGCGGGGCCGTCCTGGCTGGCTCAGGGCTGGCCGCTGCAGCAGGCGGTCTGGATGCGCTGCAAAAGCAGCTGAGCAGCATCTACCACCACCAGGCTCTCTAAATGAGTGGCGGGGTACTTGGTTGAAATGCAGACTCCTTGGCCCTACTCCAACAAATTCTACTTCAGTTGATGGGAAGTTGAGGCCATGAATCTGCATTTTAAAATCACTCTCAAAGATTCCTTTAAAATATCTCAAGAACCTGAGAAGAATGTATCATGGAGGAAAAGAGGTAGAACAAGGGACAAGTGCCAAGGAAGGACTCTCTGTCCGTGCCCACTGAAGTGAAAAAGCTCACTAAGTGACTAACCTGAAGGAGCCCTGAAAATAAATTCCAGCCCTAAGAACACTCAGGATACCTAACAACCGCTCTAAGTCAAAAATGAACTTAGGGCCTTGATATTTTTATTTTAAAAAGTCAGTATCTATTATTTTCATTCCTCTATTAACTGTTCTTTTAGAGTGCTGGGGAAAATGATAAAAGATACTCATGAAACTAATCCATCTCTGGTCAAAGAAAAGTTGGCTTTAAAAACTACCAAGCTAAACAACTGGGAACCACTGACCCAACCCTCGACCCAACCCAAGATGACAGGACAGCTCAGTGATGATTTGGTAGAATTGTTGGACTGTCTGGAGGTCTCAAAAATTACTATCTCTATCTCTATTACTACCTTGTACAATTTTCAAATCTACAGTTGTCAGCCCATAATCAAATGACATTATCCAGCCAAATTATCTGTGTGGACAGGCCACAGAACAAAGAAGGAAGTCAAAAGGAAGTCCCACCCAAGGAGGATCCCTCCACGTAACTACTCAGGACCCAACATTACTGAATAATCAAAAACTGTAATTCTGAACTTCTTAAGAAAATAACACAGAAAGCAGTAAAACAGAGGGCCTATAAACAGACTAGAAGAATCTCTTACACTAGCCTGTCTCAAAACCAAAAGCATTCACCTCCCATCAAAGCAGGGTTTTAGAAATTTCTTAGAGCAAATATTCCAAACACCCTTCTCTGGTCACAAAAACAGAAATGGGGTAGGGTTGGTATTCTTTCCTAAGGGAGACCCAGGAAGAAATGTATCTATTTAAGTTACACCAAAATGCCACAGATGAAACCCACATGACTCAAACTGGTGTTGACAAGAACTCAAGAATTTTAGCAAAGCAGCACCAGTGTTAATCCTTGTTAATTCTCAGCCTGTCTTGAATAAATTCCCTTATTGAAAAGGTTCAAGGGGTGTGCAATTTTTCTCCACAATAACCAACCTAAAACGTAAGAGAGACCCAGCTGTGAACTAAATGAAAGTAAATGAAGGCAAAATTTTCTTTTTCCTGTACATTTTTCTCAATAGTATAGATTGAGGCACAGAATTTACTAGGCAGTATTTATCAGAAGCCCAAAATGAATGTAACTTATACTTTAGGGACTAAACATGTTTGAATAAAAATAAAATGCAAAATCACACTAGTATGGGCAATCCAATATTATGAACTAATGTGAAAAAAACATCTTACATTTTTAAGATTAGACATTTACTGAACAAAAGGGAAGTTTGGGGGAGAAAAGATCAGAAAGCAAAACAGAGAACAATATTGAAGATGACAAGTCACAAGTCATTACAAACTGCAAAGTAAAATTTCATTAGCAGATATGTTCCTCTTTTTTTTTTTTTTTGGCCACATTGCATGGCTTGCAGAATCTTAGTTCCCCTACCAGGGATCTAACCTGGGCCCTCAGTAGTGAAAGTATGGAGTCCTAACCACTGACTGCCAGGGAATTCCTAGATATATGCTTAATAACAACAAACGTGCTCAGACATTCAGTTGTGTCCAACTCTTTGCGACACCATGGACTGGGATTCTCCCCACAAGAATACTGGAGTGGGGTGCCATTTCAGCTAACCCTTACCTAGTTCTGGTCAGAACTAGGTAAGGGTTGTAAGAAACTAAGAAGTAGGAACTAAACATTACCATGTTACAGATAAGAAAACTGACACAAAGGGGTTAAATCAGTTGCCTGAGATCACGCAACTAGCAGTATTAAGGATTCAAATTGAGAGGCTTAGTTTCAGAAGCTTTAACTACTACATTTTTCTGCCTACAGACACTTAATTGTTATATACGGAGATAGGAAATACAGAAACACTTTGAAAATCAATGCGCCATGAAAACACTGAAATTTTAATATGAAATATGGGAGCTGAATTTCTGTGGATATTTGAAAGAACACTGAAGGAAAGAATAACTAGGACAATTCCAGGATGTGTATACAATTTCTGTATACAATTTGGTTATAAATCCAGGTAACATTATTAGACTGAGTAACAAAATTATCCGAGGAACTAATAAGCTAACCTGAAAGTTTAAAAAAATAAGAAAAGTTCTGAAGAGGAAAAGAAAGAAAACTAAACATCAAAACACATACCTGCAATCCTGGTTGCTCCCAGAACAATGGGACAGATCCCCGGATTTGTATGAAGGAAGAAACAGAGTCATCTAAGTACACAACCTACAGAGAAAAATACTGGGTAAAATACTTCCACAAAGTTGGTACCTCCACATCAGAAGACAAATCTACCAACAGTTGTATCTCTTGACCAATCTCTCATAAACAAACTATCCTAACAAAATAGTCAAAATAGGCCATAAATAAGCTGAATTTTTTTCACCTAGTGACAGTTCTACATAAACCAAGAAAATAGTGAAAATATAAGCATAAGCATTACAACTTTAAAAAAAGGAATTCCTTTTGAATTCATTTAGTAGTTTTTCTTTAGCTTTTTCTAATTTTTAAAAACTAATCTGAAGACTTAAACTGGATTGAGGGCAAGGCCTGATTTTACAATTACATAGTCACATAGCCAAAAATAATGAAACTTCTTGTTTCAGATGGTACTCAACCTACCTTTAAGAGTTGAGTTTGACTTAATTCCATCAAAACCCACTTTTCTTAAGTTGTCTAGCTCTGTAACTGAAGATTTTCAATTCAATACTAAAACATAGGGCACTGATGATGTCATGCTGATCAGTAAAAAACTGTTACTTACTTGAAGAGCCATACCTAAATAAGCCTGTTTCTGAGGATCCTTTCTTAAGGCTCACAAGTAGCCAAGAGCAACCATAAAAGGCATTACAGATGTCAAAATGAGTTCTGAATCAAATAAAAATCAGCTTTGCCATTGTTCTTTGTGATTTCCCTCTAACACATGAATTAAGCAAGATAAACACTATATACCTGTTCCGTTTCTACAAAATTGGCGACGTGACCATCATCATTTGTTCCCCGGACGTTAAACCTGGTCCCAGCTCGTTCACAGCTCAGTCTGGAAATGAGGCAAGCCTTTGCCTGTTTATGAGCAGCATAAATTGTTCTGATTTCTACTCCCCCACACATGAGGCGTAATAACCAGTCGTCACAATTCACACCGTAGTGCTTGAGATGCAAGTGCAAAGACTGATTCCTAACAGAAAAAGAAAGAACTGCATTAGTGTGATGAGCACTCCCCAACACACTCCAGTATTCTTGCCTGGAAAATTCCATGGACATAGGAGCTTGATGGGCTGCAGTCCATTGGGTAGCCAAGAGTTGGATGTGACTGAGCAACTGAGCGCATACACACAGCACACCAAACGACAGTGTACGTTCTAAACAGTGCCCCTGGAGCATTCAAAGGCGCCAAAAGTAAATCAGCTCGCTTACAGTTACTAAGCCAGGGACTGGAGGATAGGGCTCTACAGGGAGATCCTTGGACATGTGATCGATGGTCCATGCAAAAGCAGCACATATTCTACATTTTTAGAATTTGGGCCCCATTTGTTATGACTTTCTTCATAATGTATTTACCACTTGTTCCAAAAAGTGTTTCCACACACAACTCCAGGGAATTCCTAGATATATNGTTCCAAAAAGTGTTTCCACACACAACTCCAGGGAATTCCTAGATATATATATATATCTAGGATCCTTATATATATATAAGGATTTTCTTAAGGCTTGACTTTTACAAGGCTCCAGTTTAATTAAGTTTAAATAGTTACATGAGCTAGCAGTTACCATATTAATGCCTATCTAGGGTTTTCCCTTGCTCCAAATACTTCTATACTCTAGGTAACAGAGAGGGCCTGCTTTCCCATCTTTTTCAGGGCAGAGAGTTCTGTTTAAATGAACACACAGAAACCTGATGATCAGAAAACAGATTAAAACCCATGGCTGAAGTTGGGATGGAGGCTGGGACCTGCCGCACTGGCCATCTTCACATGCCGCTGCCTGCCTCAGGGGCTCTGCTGGAACCACAGGCCTCCAAAACTCCTCACCAAACCACCACCAAGTAAAAAACGCTGTTGTGCAGAAAAACTTCCTCTCTGGGACTTGCAGATATTAAAGGCACCTTACAAAAGGGAAGTTTCTAGAATATTGAAGCTTGGTTCTCTGAGTTTTCAAACTACCAGTTTAAGAGGAAGTGCTTTGCACTATCTTGTCTTAGAGGTACAAAAACAACGTGACAGCATTTTCTTGAAGGCTTAAGAGTTGTTAAGAATCTACATCAATGCTGTTGGAGCAGTCCCCACCACTTCAGGCTACGCTGCAGGGGACAGCAAACAGGTGGTGGACACCTGCAATCCTAAGAAACCAGAGATAACCCAGCCTCTCTTGGCCATTCAAGAAAGCATACTGGAAAGTGAGTGAGCAGTAGGTTTATTCCCAGGATAACGTTAAATCAGATGAATATTACTAATTTAAAAATGTGACTTCAACTTTCACACTTTACTTATTAACTACCTTGATCTGATCTGGCAAAGCTCAAACTGGCTGTGACTCAGTTCGTCCAGACACCACCGCTGAGGCCCAGATCATAGCAGAGGCAGGACAGACTGACTGTCCCCCATTTAAATAGCAATGGGAGCTGTGCATTTGTTCAGATAGAGTTTCTCCCTCTGCTGTCAGTTTTTGTTTTTCTTCACAGTCAACGCCTTGCTGTTTTAATTCTAAGTTTACACTCGACTCTCAACTGGCAGCAGCCTCAAATCCTCAACGGAGTAAAATTACCTGGGCTTTTGGGATAGATGTTTGCCAGTCTCTGGCTACAGAACTTACTTGGCTATATCTTGGGAAATATTTCTACAAAGCTGCAAGGGTTTGCATAATGAATTTTAAAAGCTTTTCTATGTAAAGTGAAGCTACAGAATCTAATCCTTAGCAAACCTTTAAAGATTATAAAGTGAGCAAAACTCATCTTTGGCATTTCAGCCTGCATTTTGTCAGCCTGTTTGCTGCTCATAAACCTTCTCAATCTGTTATCTAAATTGGCCCCCACCTCTACCCATAACTGAACGAAAAGATAAAAGAATTATTCCCACCGATTAAACTTCGTGATATTCTTAACTGCTGGCCATTTAGCCAATGCATCTGCACCTGCCTGGACTTCTGATTGCACCAGGGAAACTTTTCTCTCTCAATCTAAGAAATGTGGGGTAAGAAAGAGCAGAGGGAAGAAAGGTAAGGACAGCGGCCCTAAGACCAGCTGCAGCACCATCACTGCTACAGGAGCATCAGCGTCTCTTCCATCAGAGAAGTGCAGGGCTGCCGTGAGCAGACGGGACTGTCGACTTGTCTCTCCCATGTCCTTCCTTTCCCCCACCCCGCCACCCTCCAGCCCTCCGCTAGGCTCCAAGTCCTCAGGGACAGTGCCTGAAAGCCCCTCTTCCCTCTGCCCTCTTCCCCCCCCACCCCCAAGACACTCTGGGCCAAGACACTTCTATGGGAGCCACAAGCTACCAAGTTACTGCTCCAAAGGCAGTTTCCAGTCCTCGTGTTGCTGACTCTGAGCCCTCTGACCCCCAGGGCCTTCTCCAGGACCATTCAGGCAGATAGTGAAAGTGAGAGAGAGAAAGTATACAGTGGGGAACACCCTGAGTCTGAATTACTGAGGGAAGCTGTGAGCACAGTCCTGGACTTTGGCCTTATAACATTAAGTAAACAACTGAAATACAATTTGTCCATTGTGTTAAGGAAAAAAGTCAACAGTGATGCTGACTGTGGACAAGAGAATGACTATACTGGAAATCTGGTCTGTTCCAATAAAGCAATACCTATTACACTCACGTGGGTCCTGCTGCCCCATTAATGCATACTTACAATACAGCACCTTCATGCATAATCCTGAAATATGTCACAGTTACCTACTTAAGTCTCGTTTTATTACAGTACTAAATTTGATCCCAGCATACTACTTCCTTGTAGTCAGTTGCTCTTGAATCAAAATCATCTACTTACAACCTTTCAATTAAAAACAATAAGGGAATGTAGGCTTAGAAAGGCAAATGTTGCCAGAGATGAGATCTCAAACTAAGAACCATACATATGAGTAATACGATTCTATTATGATTAATTCCTTCCTGATTTAAAAATAATTATTTTAAATATATGTCTGAAATGGAAGGTCCGTCTAGATCAGGAAGAGTAAATGGGTTTCACATCACAGGACTACTTTAATAAAATGATGGCAGATATCTGCTATGCTCCAATGAGGATCCCGCGACAGTAGAGAGTGGTGTGCTCAGCTGGCCGTGCCCACCGTTGCCAGCTCCAGAAATAACTGTTATGCCTTCCATGTTCCAGCTCACCCAGCGACTGCACTGCACGTGATCACAAGGGGAAACGTAATACAAACTCACCAGAAAAATCTATTGTCAGTTGTGTGTTCTTGCACGCTACGGTGGGCATTAAGACTCAGATCCAAACTGACTCCGGATGCAGACCATGCAAAATAAAAGTTTCCTGAATTTAAAACTTTTCGCACTTCCGAAATGCGATCCTCGTCCGAAGAATCAACTCGCAGTGACATAAATTCAGTGGAAGTAACTCGGAAAACTTCAGATTCTTGAATTTTCCCAACAGACATACATCCAGTGACTAGGACCAGATAATGTAACATAATATCACCTGCAAAAACCAAAGACTTAATGGGATGGGAAGTCCCAATATTCTACAAGCTATTCAAAATTTCTTCCAACTTTCTTCTCATGTCTCTGCCTTTTAAAATCTGACAGTGTGATTACTTTAAATTTATCACAGACACATTTAAGTTCACAACTAGATTTTGGCAGAAGTTGGGGGAAAAAAAATCCTTGTTTAAATACATTTAGTATGATGAAGCATTTAAACAGAATAAACTTACATTTATGAAATTATTCCTCTACTTATCTAAAAGTATGTAAGATTTATCAAATTTTTAAAATGTAGGTGTTATCTTCCCTACCTTTCCTTTATGACTGTAAGAAGTTCAGACAAGACAATGACTTGAGAGTTCTTCATAAACAGTAAGGTTGAAAAAATGGCATTTAAATGTGAACTGCTGCTGCTGTTGCTGCTATATGAAGAAAAAGTCTTTGGTAACAATTTATAAAGTGATTTGGCTGACAAACACTTTCCTAGCGATTTTTTTCATCTAATTTTGACAAAAATCCTGTGCAGTGAGTATGAAGGTGGAATTCAGCAGTGGTATACTTTAAGCATGTGGGGGCTTTGACATAGGCAGAAGTGCCCTGCATCTTGGCTTCTCCACTACCTATTATATCAACCAACTCCATGTGTTAACATATGCAACATGAGATATCCTCCCTTTAGAAAATAAGATTAAGGGACCTCCCTGGCAGTCCAGTGGTTAAGACTCTGCTTCCAATGCAGGGATCCAAGTTCGATCCTTGGTCAGGGAACTAAGATCCCACCTGCCGCGAGGGGTGGCCAAAAAATAAATAAAAAAAGAAAATGAGAATAAAACAAATCTCACTGGACTGTGAGGATGATCCAGGACAGTACTAGTTAATCGTTCCCAGTGGTAAAGAATCTGCCTGCCAATGTAGGAAATGCAAGAGAATCGGGTTTGATCCCTGAGTCAGGAAGGTCCCCTGGAGGAGGAAATGGCAAGCCACTCCAGTACTCTTGCCTGAAATCCTATGGACAGAAGAGCCTGGTGGGCTACAGTCCACGTGGTCACAAAGAGTCGGACATGGCTGAGTGACAGCACGCATGCACACAGTGCTTTACATGTGACAAGAGTCATAGCAAATGGCGTATCTCCATTTGATAAGACCAGCGCTCCTCAAAGCACGATCCATGAGCCAGTGCAGTTACCAGTTCAGTGAGAACAGGTGCTTGCTCCAGAATAGAAAACTGCATCACTAAGTTCACTACTTGGTTTAGCTAACTTCTTTTTTTTCTCCACAGTAAGACTTTTATCAATGAAAGAAGCTGTGTGTTGATTTGCATGACGGTGCCCACTTCTTTTCTCATCCAGACCACTAACAAAACAGTTCATGGAGTGTAACCTGTCTGTGGGCCACACTCTGAGTCACACTGTTGTAGAATCAAACTGGTGATCACAAATGTTACTTTGCAGCCAGTGGTGACACTGAATGGCAGATAGGCTCAAGCTGAGATGTTTTGAGTATAAAACAGATGTCTTTTCCACTACAAACCAGGGGAAACAGTGTGTGGTTCTAAGACATCTTTCCTTAAGTGCACTGAAGCAAAAAAAAAAAAAAGGCAACGCCCTTATTTTTCTCTTCTGATAATGATACCAATCTCTTAAAGTGTTCAGACAGGATGCTGTGTCTGGAATTTAAAATCATGAGAGCATGAGCATGTAATGTAGCATGGCTTTTCAGCTAACAATCATCTCAAGGTTAAGATGCTTCTATACTCACAGATCAAATACAGAGTCTATGAAATAGTCTCTATCAAATTACAAAAACAGAAATGAAAAACTAGATTGAATTACACTGAATACTTACCAAGATTTAATCGTAAAACACCTAAAAGTCCATAGGCATCTAGAACTTTGGAGTATGTACCCTTGATTGCCTCTTTTTCTGCTGATGCTACAAAAAAAAAAAAAGTTTCAGTATAAGAAAAAGGACCTGAAACATCAGATTCGCTTTAGCTATAAAGCCAGAGTTTCAACCAAAAATGTCTAAATCTAAGTCTGATATTCTTAACATAAATGTACTGCATAAAATCTTTTTTTGAACCAGTAACTTTAATAGTTTTTCCCAAAGAAGTAACAAGTTATTCCAGCGCCATCTATTCATGAATCCATCCTTGCCTAATGATCTTGAAGTACTACCTTTAATAATATTTGTATCTTTTGGAGGTTGATTTGAATTTTCTTCTCTGTCCCCCTGATCTGTTTACCTAATCTTAATACCAGGAACACACTGTGTCCTGATATCCCTGCAGGACAACACCCAACTCCTTAAGAAGGAATCTAGAATTCTAGATTTTAGCCTCAACACACCCTTTCTGCTTCAGTTTCCATTACTCTTCTTTCCTTCCCAGCCCATGCACCTTATACCCCAATCACACTAAACTCTCACTATTGCCCAAACATGGTTTCTACATTTCTGTGCCTTTGCACAGGGATCTGGCTTTCTGCCTGCAAGGCTTGACCCAACTTTTGCCTCTTGCCAAAACTGAATTCACCTTAGAAAAACTGACACAAAGTCACTTTCTGAAAACCTTTCTTTATTTCTCTAAGCACAAGTCTTTCACAGAGCTCCCTCTTCATGTTGCCAAAACATTTAAAATATATTCATCACTTGTCCTTCTCATTAGCCAACCTGTTCCCTGAAGGTGGAACTCTGTCCTATTCATTCTTTAATCATTGACACTTAGAACAGAGCTTGACACATGGAAGACTACTAATGCTAAAATTATAAAAGTTAATGGTAATGCTTGACCACAAGAGTCAAGCACAGGAACAGGGATATCGTCAGTCTGGCCTTCGTCTGGATTTATTTCTTCTGCTATGAAGTTAATGTCATCCGCTAATGAATACAACCTACAGAACAATTTCCCTTAGACAGGCTGTGATGGTCATTCTATTGAGAAGAAACAAAAACAAATCCTGAAGCTCTAAAGGAAAACCTTCCGAGTTCTTACAAACACACTTATTGAAAACTGGACACAGAACCAAAGAAACATAAACCACAGCTAGTACCTCAATGTGTGATTATAAATATGACGTTCTAAGGCAAACAAATCTGGAAAGACAGGAGCCTCTTTCTCGTTCCATCCTTTCTTTTCCAGTTCTTTCCTTCTTCACTGCCCTCCCTAATCCACAGCCTACACCACAGCCCCCAGTTCACCTCTCAGATGACTGGTTCACTCCTAATTTACCTCTTCTCTCTTGCACTTTTTCCTTTTCTCATTTCTCTAAGATTTGCACATGAAATACAGTATATTACAAAGTCTAATAAATATTCTAATAAATTACATTCTGATACAGAATCACAGTATTGAGTATGTTTTGACAATATGCATGTGTTCCACCTTATAAACGCTTGTAAGCAGATTCTTACAGTCCTCTCTGTTGATCTCTATTGCCAACAAAATGGCCATAGTCTCAGTCTATTGCTTTGCCTAACATCCCATAGTATTCTGCATTAAAACTCTTTCCTCTGTCTCGAAGCTTGTCTCCAGGGTTCTCCAGACAGCTCATCTTCCCTGCCTGCCTCACCTCTTTTCAGACCATCTACTTAAGACTTCTTGCTGGTTATCCCACTTCTGCTGTCTAATGAGCTGTGCTCCACTATTTGGCAGCAGAGGCTAGGACTGAACGGTGGTCCAGAGGCTAAGACTCCTAAGCTCCCAATGCAGGGGGCCGGGGTTCCATTCCTGGTCAGAGAGCTAGATTCCCCGTGAGGCAACCAAAAGTTCACGTGCCACAACTAAAAATCTGAAATGCTGCAACTAAGACCTAATGCAGCCAAATAAATAGTATAAATCATAATAAATATTAAAATAAGACTGAGTCAATCAGCCAAATAATAAAAATAATACATAAATATTTAAAAAAGACTGAGTCAATCACTCAGTTACCTGATGATGTCACAGTTCTTTAGTATGCTCTTTACTGGGGAGTGCCTTTATCTTTATCAAACCACCTGTATGAAGTTAGGGAGTGAGGACGATTTCACCAAGCCATTAGTTATGGGGAAGTGAATTTCATTCTTCATTCCTAGAGTTCCTATCATTATTATTAATTACACTATATATTTGTAGAACAGTTACTCCTAACATTCAATGACAAGGAACAGAGAAAATATCACACACAAATTTTAATTTTAAAGTAACACAGGAACCCCTTCTCCCACATCTTACCTTGTTACAAGTACGAAATGTACAAAAGCAAACCTCAGAGAGGCTTGTTACTTCTCTGATGACAGAAGGCATGGTTTCCACGGCAAATACTATTCTACTCTACTAGTGGTAGTGTTGAAGTGCATATACACGTTATATATATGTTATATGCACTTCAAACACTACCACTAGTAGAGTAATAGAGAAATTACCACAAATATCTGTCAGTTTTAGCACCAACCATTTAGCTTCAAATACCAGTAATAAGTGTTAGAAAGAAAATATATTTTTAGTGTTAAGTTGTCACTTTCCTTCTGGAGAAGGAAATGGCCACCCACTACAGTATTTTTGCCTGGAAAGTTCCATGGACAGAGGAGCCTGGTGGGCTCACATGGGGTCGCAAAGAGTCGGACGTGCCTAAGCGATTAAGCACACACCTTCCCTTAGAAAAGACAAAGTCATTTTATAACTTAAATTACCATGCAGCAAAATCTTTTCTCTTCTAATAATGCATAATAATTACCTTTTCAATAACTGTGCTCCAAATATATGAATCTACCATGTTTTTCAGGCCCAATGAAGACCCGTCTATTAGAGTCACCTGATTCAAACACGTGAACAAATGTCATGTTGTTTAGTTATTTGTGCTTTTGTATTATATTCTGAGACTCAGGGAATAGGACACACACACAAACATACAAAATAAACTAAAGTGTATATTCTTCACTAAAATAATGTGAAAGGAAAGAAAAACGATTCAAAGAACAGATGAGATGTCATTTTCCCTGCCAGGAATTTTTTGGTTTCTTCTCAAAATATTAAATGAAATTTTAAATTATTTTTTAGAGTGACAAATATTTGACAGGAGGGAACAGGCTTAGGGAGCTTCCTAATTTACTACCCTGGCTACACTCCAAGAGTCAGAGAAGGCAGCTCCATGAGGGAAGGGGCTTTGTCTAGTCCACTGGCCTGTCCCCAGTGGGCTAGCTCAGTGCCTGCACCCAGGAGGAGTTCAGTAATTTATGTTCAGTTAACTGGTGAAGGAGATTTCAGAACCATATGAACATTTACCTCTAGATCCTTCCAATTTTATAAAAGAAAACATAGTGTTTCCTTCCTAAATATCTTTACTCTAAAGGACAGTAGATGATTACCTGTTGTTTCATTTATGCTTCAGAGGTTTGGGGTAGAATGGAAGGAGATCCTTCGCAGGCTGTGAGTCCAGAGAGAGTTAAGAAGGTGGCCCTGCTCATGGAGTTGAAGCCACAGGTGGGGAAAGAAAGACTCCATTTGAGGGGCAGGGCAGCGGGCAGGAGATGAAGAAGTCTGAGCGGAGTGAGGAGGGTGGTGTCCACCCAGGGGTGGTTGGAATGGCCTGCCACAGGATGCTGGAGCTTGAGAGAGAGTGGAGAGGGCATGGTGCGTTGGACGGAGGCTCCAGGCAGGGTGCTGGAGCCCTGGTGGGGCGAGAAAGCCACGCACAAGATAGAGGAGGCTGTAGTGGCAACAGGAGCATGGCTGGTTACACACAGGGGTACGATCAAGAAGCATGGAGCAGGTTTTTCTCGCTGACGGAGAAGGGCAGTACACACACACACAGAGAAAACCAGAAAGGACGCTGTGGTGCTGATCAGCACTGGAGCTACCACTGTGAACTTCATCTTCCAGATAGACAGACAGAGATAGAAATGGGCGGGCATAATTATACTTTCATATACATAGACCCACTGGTGCTCAGTTGTGTCCGACTCTTTGCAACCCATGAACTATAGTCCACCAGGCTCCTTTGTCCATGGGGTTTTCTGGTAAGAATACTGGAGTGGGTTGACATTTCCTCCTCCAGGGGATCTTCCAGGGATCGAATCCTCACTTCCTGTGTCTCCTGCCCTGCAGGTGGATTATTCACCGCTGAGTCAGTGGGGAGACCTTGCATACACATACATGCTTACAAATTTTCCTTCACTCTATCAATTGACAGGACTAGTGATCAGCAATACTCAATAACAGACAACACAGCCAGCACCCAGATCTTGCTTTCAAATACATTCTCCACTAAAAGGAACTAGGACTCCATGGAGAAATGGCTGATTCCAGGAGAACGGCAGGGACAAGATGAGGCTAGAACAAATTTTGTGCCAGAAAGTAAAGTAGTGTTCAAAGAACAATGAAGGCACGTCACAAAAATACAGAAGCCAGCCTAAAGGGGCTTCTATTGGCGAAATTTGGGACAATTTGAGCATCAAGATAAGTTTTAAGAGTAACAGATTATAAATCCCTGAATAAACTCACAAACTTAAAGTTTGAAGAGTAATGGATCATACACAGTCTCAAAGTGTACCTCACCTTCAAACACTTATTAACTATAAAGGTAAAAAGAGCTGGTCAGCGATGTCTGGCAGATACCACATCAACACAAGTTATCAAAGTGAACACCAACAGTAAATGGGACAAGTCAACACTGTGTCAGCTGACAGGATACAATGAAAAGCACACTGCTCTGTAATATTCCTGCCAACATCACATGACTCTGAACAGGAAAACCCATCAGACAAATTCTGAGTGAGGGACATTTCTACCAAACAACTGGCCTTCGTCTTCAAAAGCCATAGCACTTTATGGTTATAAATGTCAAAGACTAGGAAACTTCTCCACATCTAAGGGTAGTAAAGAGACATGATAACTAAATATAATATACATAATTCAACTGGATCTTTTTGCTATGAAAGATATTATTCAGACA